CAGCCCCTCCAGAAGTTTAGACAAGGCCCAGTGTCTTGCGGGAAGGGTTATTTTTTGTTGTACCAAGAGCTATATAAACCAATGGAATATTTTTTGTTGTGAAGATAATTTCTTCCCTTAATATTGCACACGCCACGGCTTGAACCAGCGCTATCATTACGACGACCTTCAATCTTCCACTGCACTGAGATCAAGAACACAGCGTGGGCAGAATCTGTGTGGATAGAAGCGGCCAGCTTCTATCCACACAGCTTGGACCAGCGTCAGCATAGACCAGCACAGAGTTAGCCCTGTGGTTAAAAACGTAGTCCTAAGACCTTGTGGACCAGAAAACTAAACGTGGTTACACCATAGGGTGTAGGCAGCGACGAAAGGTGTTATAAGACAATAGAAAAAAATCTCTACTGAAGAGAAATTTCTGTAAACTTAAATAATGCCTAATGGTTAATTCCACGTTGGCAGGAAGGGAGACAAGTCTACTACCACTGCTTAGAATAAGCTGAGGAGTGTTAACCAAGGATGGCGAGTTCAATCCTTGGTCGGACCACAAGAGTCAGCATAGTTAACACCTAGAGTTGCCAATTTATCATTTAGACTCAAGTCACATGTCTATAGATTATTGTGTTGTGACTGAGGATTTAATGTGAAACTATTTTGATAATAAAATACTGTTTAGAGTTTTGAAGTTGAAAAGGGATCATACTATTCGTTTCCATAGTAATTCTTGATCCGTTTTCTTCTCTGAACTATTGCCAGGCTTTGCAACTCTGCCCGCTTGGTAACACAAACCATGTGGTAGTGTTTGTAGATATTTCTTTCCACTAGTCTACTTGGCAAGAACCCATTATTGACATCATTTTGCTAAAAACACACTGACTGGGATTCATTGTGGTTTTCTTTGCAGCGCCTCTTGAAGTGAAATTTCTAATCTTCCCATTGAAAATTATACCACAGGTCGTTTCTTCCTGGATGAAAGCCGACATCAACGTTTTCGTATCATCGAGGAAATACCAAGTGAAACAGAAATCTAAACCAGGATAAATCCTTAATCCTTCCTCTCTCAAATCAATTTGACGTTTGATAAAGCAGAATATTTTGCTCGTAAATTCTCTTCCAACTCCATTCACAACTCATCAGGAGTATCTTTATCCGATTTTCCACCTAAAACAGAATCTCTACTGTGGGATATGCATCTAACTCCATCCATTGCTTTTTGCTATCATCTCCAAACTAGTTTACCACAAGGCATGCGGATTTGATGGCAATCCTCCTCTGTAGTTCCTGTTTTTAAGAACTTTGCTCTTCTCCCCCTAGCTATGGGTAACTAGCAGGACAGACCACGTTCTATAGACGTGGTTGGCAACTGGTCTACTGCAGAAAAAACTGCCTCGTCAGTCATGTATCGAAAGATACATGATCGCCTAAGCGTGTATCACGTATGGCACATAACTGACTGACCGATACCTTCTGATTCCCCTCAAATTATCGTCCTCTTTCTCTTTTTGGCAAATTACTAAATGCTCTAATCAACTATAGATTGGTTAAACAAATCTAGGTAACTACTAATCCACTTAATCAGTTAAGCTATAAATAAGAATGGTGAGATATCTCTAAGGACTGTGACAGGTTTTAGCATGCTAGCCTTTTTCATGACCTGAAAGGCTATGGTGTCTGCAGATGAATCTTTAATAAAATCATGTAAGGAATGTTGTGTTGAACAGAAACTTATCTAGCTGCTTCCACATTAATGCAGGGATCTTCCAAAACTTTATCCTCCGACCTATGTCGGTTTCTTCTCTTCATTGATGACCTTCCTGATGTCATCAGTTAACAACTAGGTTATTTATGCTGATGATAATAGTATTTATAATAGTTGTTAACCGAGACAAATGAGTTGTAAATTTTAACATCTCCAAAACAAAACTACTAACTTTTAGTAATTGTTTTGGAGGTGTTAAGATTTACAAACCATCTCAGAGAACTATTTTTGCTTTCCATTAACTTGGCAAATCATTGTATCTTGTATATGTTTTCTACTGACAAGTGGAATAATTATATTGAATCAATTGCTAGTCTGCTGCTAGGAAAGTTGGTTCACCATCTCATGCCAGACAATTCTTATCAGAATCCATCATGTCAAAATCCAAAGAAGGATCTGTAATGTTATCAGTCCTGGCACCTCAATTTCATATTCTTTGTGGCTTCCTGATGTCTTATTTTGATGGCAGTTGCTCTCCTACTTCGTACCTTAGCTGCATGAATTTAAGCATACTACTAGATTAGAAACTAGGTTTTAATGTTTTTTTGTTAAATAATTTTTTTTTCAATGCTACTTTAGAAATAAGACGCCTTATTTCTAGTGAAATCATTTTCAATTTAAAACTAGATTCACCTAAAATGGTTTTATTTTTAACTATTATAAAGTTTTGCAATCAAAAAAATTTCCATAAATTTCAATTAATGACAAAACTTGAAGCAAATTCAACACATGAATTTTCAAAATTGCTTAAATGTTAACAGCCAAAATTCTCAAGAGATTAGATTTCAGACATGTAAATGTTGGCCGACTTAATATTTAGAAGAATAAAAGAAATTAATTCATCATATTCTAGATTTATCTTTTCAAAAAATTAAGAATCAGAGTTTCCAAATTTATGAAAATTCTACAACATATTTTTTACAATTAAGAGAATTTGCAATTCATATTCTTAATGCAGAAAAAGATCTATTTAATTTTAAAGATTTGTCTAAGTTGGCCATAGAGATGGAGAGGGAGAGGTGAAATATGTTTCATTTTGGATGCTAAGTATTGCTTGGACTCCAACCACTATATCTATTTCTTGCTTTCCAAAATTATTCCAGCTGCAAATTGGAGATTTAAGGAGAGGGGGGAAGTGGCTTGGGATATTTTTGTCCAATATCTGTTAAAATATCGCATCAGCTGCAAAAGGGACAATCACTCTTTTCATTGTTCCTCAACAGCAATAAACGCAGTTTTGAATAACTGATTAAGGAGGCAAATTATCAGAAAATATTCCTTGTGAAAAATGTTTCCTCTTCATAACTATTCTTCCCTTGTCATCACTTAATTTTATTTATTGTAATTGAATGTCAAAATAGGTATTCTTGGAGATAGCCGAATTATTTACATCATTCACTGACCCTGATTGTTGCAGTTTCTCAGCTGATTTCAAATTTTTCTCTAACTTTAGCTTATTTTCAATCTAAATCACAAATACAAGTTTTCCTCTGGTACAGAAATGGTAAAAACTGTTTCTATAGTGATTTCTACAACTAAGATTTAATATTGAAAACAGGAATTCTTCACAGGTAGGAACATCAAATATAACACTGAGTCAAAAGAGAGCCTGAATAAGTTGCAGTATTCATGTGTGATAGGGAGAGTAAATTTTTGTTGTAAAGCATTTTGTGAAACAGGAAAATACAAATGGGATTTGAAATCAAGCCATAAACGACTTGAGGACAGGATTGGCAAAAAAAGATTTCTGCTACTGCTATGAACAGAACATTTGTGTATTGTTTTTTTTTTTTTTTACTATATTTCTTGGTTTGTTGGCAATGGGGTGTGAGGGAGTGCAGACGATGACCCCCCCCCTCACAAACAAAGTCCATTGATAAATAATCATGACAGGAGATTGCAATTTATATTAAAACTTGTTTGATAAAATGTTTCCTTTGTTCTTCAAGCTAATTATTAGCACCACCCTCAATATCCTTGTTAACTTTCATTTATTTAATAAAATTTACGTTTTCTGCCTTTTAAGGTTCCATTAATTTGACATTATTTGAAGGAGCTTTCTGTGGGATTTTTGCTTCTGGCATCTGCTTTAATTATTTTCCTGAAATGCTAGGATCTTCAGCTTTGCTACTGTACCAGCATGTTTTTTTTTTTTTAAACTTCATTCCTCCCATCCAAATAAAAAAATAAAAAAGCAGCAGCAGCTATCAGTTGATTAAGAGAAAAGTATCCCATATGAATAAAATCAGTACAGAAAGACAGGAGGAAGTGAAGGCAGTTTTATTATAGATAAAAATAGCTAGCAACAAATCCAAGATTCCCTGTAAAGATTGATAAATTTCTTCGATATCTGATTCTATCTCCTTAAAGTGCATTTGGGGTAAGAAAAAAGTTTTATTAGTTTCCTTACAAATGTAGCAGAGACAGCATTTTGAAAAAAAAAAAAAAAAAAAAAAAAAAAAAGCAAGAGATTTTATCTGTTTCTACCATACACAAGATATGTGGGAGGGCTATATTTCTTCCACAAAGAGATGGAGAGCCAGGATCAAAATCCACCACTCACCATTCCTCTCAGATTAAGAAGTAAAGAAAAAAAAGAAAAAAAAATTTTGAAGCAGAGACAAGATGAAACTACTTCTCCAAAATACAAAAAAAAAAAAAAAAAAAAAAAGTTAAATTTTTTTTCAATCAATTTATCCATAGAAAAAAAGATATGCAGATGAAGCGGGCAAAAAAATTTAAAAAAAAAATGTATCAAAATTAAATGTCAAAGCAAGCAATGTCCATTTCTATAGAAATAAACAAGCAGATCTGATTTCTTTCATCCTTCACCACAGGCTTTGAAAGATTTTAAAAATAAGATTTTTTTTTTTCTTCATTTTTCTGCAGTTTAATCACCTTTATTTTATTTTCTGAGTATCCAAATGGGTTTCCCCCTGAAGAAGAAGAGACACTGAAGTCGAAGCAAAGAGAAAGATTATAAAAAGTTCACGTTAAAAAGAGAAAAATCAAAACGAGTGACAAGGGAGTGTTGCTCTTGTCTTGGGGAAGAACTGAAAGTGGCCACTAGAAAGCAACAGATGAAAGGTGGCTGGAAGTGGTTTTAGAGTCAAAGTTATTGTGGTGGTTGTAATTATTGAAGGAAGAGGAAGATAAGATTAAGTGGAGGGAGGACAGAGCTAGTTATTGCCACAAGCCATCTACAACAGTCAAACAACAGCAACGACGACGACAACAGAGACTAATTGATGAACAAAGATCTGGTGAAATCAATGAAGTCATATGTATCTGGTATTGATCGCCCGGTCTTATCCTGGTACGGCTTCATACGATTGATACAATAATCTGCTTGTTCTTTGGTCAGATTCTAGAAAAGAAAGAAAAAAAATTAAATAATAATATGGCATATCAATATCTACATGGGTTACATAACTAGCAGAAAAAATATACAATTTATTGAAAGCCAGTTTAAAAAAAAAAAAAAAAAAAAAAAAAAGGAAAAAATCTACAGCTAATCAAGAATAGAAATCAAACCAAAAATATTTAATTACAACATTTTAAGTAATAAAGAAAGAAATCAAATATTTAATTGATTTTTTCAACTGATCACTCCTGCTTTAATTCTTTAATCTTAAATGTAATGTTTAGGAATTTGTAATGAGAAATACTTTCCAAAGAGGAAAGAAGCAATCTTATTCTTGATGAAACAATGCTTTCATTAATGACGGAATTAAAAGCCACAACTTACTGCATAAAGTTCTTGGGCTGTAATGTATGGTTTTTCTCCAGAGGTGAGGGCACGGAAAGCTTGTTCCACTTCAGAACTGGATTGTACATTCTCAGTTTCTCGACTGATCATGAAAGCCATATATTCTTGTAGACTGACATGCCCATCTCTGAAAAGAAAAAAGAAAATGACAGCTTAGAAAAAAAATTCTACAGAATTCATTCTATGACAATCGAGAGACAAATACATGTGAATATTTCACATATGCAAAGTTGGGAAGGTTTATTAATATGACCTCAGAAGAGAAAACTGAATTTAAACAACACACACACACAAAAAAAAAAAAAAAATCATTTATCTGCAAAAAAATTTTGTGTTGTAATAAAAGAGAAAACATACCTGTTTGGATCTACACTATCCAAAATGGCCTGGAACTCGGGGTCTACCTGGCCTTCCTCCACCATCGGGAGATCATAACCCAAGGCTCGGAGACAAGACTTGAATTCTTGATGGTCAAGTTTACCACTTTTGTCCTTGTCAAAATGTCTGTAGGAGAAAGACAAAAAATTCAGATTAAAAATAAAATAAAAAAAGTAAAATAAATAAAATACAAGATTTACTATGGTTAACCATAGTTGCCACCACAGAAAATGCAATACGTAAAGTTTTAAAATGAATCTTTAAAAATGAAAAATTCTTTCTTGAAGTTTGTATTTTTTAGTTTTAATTCCGAGCTAATAGATTAAATTTAATATTTTAAATAAACAAAATACTTCACTGTATTTTTAAAATAATTTAAATTGACTGGAAGTAATTTTTTTTTTTTTTGCTAACCTAGCCTTTTTAAAGTCATCTATCATTGCAATGTAATTCAAAAATAAAATATACTTTTCTAAAACTTTACTTGATGAATATTAGCTGATTTAAAGTATAATTAATTTGATTTGAAATAATTATTTACTTCAAGTTTAAAATATTGTAGAAATGCATTTTTTAACACAGTGATAGCTGTTTTTAAGCTGTTAATGTATTTGACAGATTGATATTTATCTGATTTGTTCGGTGGGGGGGGTAGCAGTAAAAAAAAAATAATTGAATTAATAGGCGTATTCAATTTTTAACTACTCGGTTTTTTTAAAAATGAAAGAAAAGATTCTCTGTAACAATGTTTTATTCAATTTTAGATACTTATTTGCTTTAAATTTACTATAGTTATCACTCTTATTTTCTGATGTTTTGTATAGATATAAAAATTCTTTTTAAAATATTGGTGTTTGATGATTTGTACTAAGATTTCTCATTTATGATTAGTAAATACAGTTTTTACTTAATATCATCTAAAAGGGTGAAATTAGTACATAATCCTAAAAAATTTAAAACTTAATAAATTATTCTAATTAAATTTTTAAAAAAAATGAAAATTGTGAAAATCAATTATTTATCAAAAAAGAATTTTTTAAGACAATAGTGTCCTTAATATATCTTATTTATAAAAGCAATGAAAAATTTTCTAATGAAATTAGATTATAGTTTTGTTGCATTTTTTATTTTACAATTCAGTAAATGGTGTTTCTGTTTAACAGAAACAAATTGATGATTTAAATTCTCCAAGGACTCCTGCTTATAACTAATATAAATATCAAGAGGGTGGAATTTTAATTTCTCGAAAATTTCATAAGATTAATTAAGTGGAGGTAGCAGATGAATAAAACAAAAAACTAAAAATTTACCTGAACATCATACTGAACTCACGGAGGGCATCTTCTGATACACCACTGCGGTTCCTAGAAGAGGAAAAAAAAAAAAAAAGTCACTTAAAAAAAAATATAGTAAAACAGAAACTGGGGTGGGTGGGCATAGAACCAACAAAATCTGTTGGATTTTGTTTATTAACAAAAATATTTTTAAGAACTTAACTCTTAACTTGTTCTTTGACAAAAAGAAATGGGTGAAAATTTAAAATACAGGAATTAAAATGTTATTGAGAAAAATCATTTTTGTGAAACGGGGCAAATATAAAAAACTTAAATAGTAGAAAAGAAAGTAGCTGAAAATCTGTCAAGTGACTTTTGGTCAAAGTTGAGCAAATCTTATTTGTGGCAGTTCAACAAACTCAAAAGCCATTCTATTTCAGTTAACAGGTTTGTTATTTTAGAGAAAGAAAAACAACAATGTAGAAACTTTACAAGAAACAGAAAGTAAATCCAAAAGAAAATTGAATGTCAATTGCAAATTAGCAAGTATTGTGATAACAAGACATGCCCAAATGTTCAATCCAACTGCAATAAATCTAGACTTATTTTGTGTATTATGCTTTTATCTTGTATAACAGAACTGAGATTATTTGAAAAGATATATCAATTTTAATGAAAATAAAAAGTTTCTGTTGATTTTTTTTTTTAAAGAAATAAAGAAAATCACATTCAAACAAGAACAGCAAGAATTTAACACTTTGCTATTTTGATTAGAATGTGATATCATTTCGCTAAGTTTGAAATGGTATTTAATGAACTAAAATATGCAGCAATTTCTTTTTAATGAAAAAAAATGCCAATAATACACACACACACACACACACACAAAAATAGAGAGGAAACTTTTTTTTTTACACCATAAAATTTCCACTGATTCCTTACCTTGCTTGAATTTGTTGTTCTAAATTGTGTTGCATTCTCATTCCTAACTGATCAAGTTGGTCCCATTGCTGGGCCAGACCCACTGTGCTGTGTTCTGTGTACCTAAAGAAGAAGAAGAATGTTTCTCAGTCTCCCTAAAAATTACTTGGAAAAAGCACACAAAAATTTCTATATGGTATGAAATTATCAATGACAAAGAATTTTCAGTGCTTCTTACTATGTACAATAGACATTAAATTAGGAATGGTGAGGGTGGGGGGGATTATTTACCTGTTGTCCAAAATCAATCTCTCTTCCATGGCAGCTCCTAGATCTTCAATTCGTTTCAACTGACCTTTTTGAGCTCGAACTTCTGATGCCTTACGCTGAAGTGAGATGAGAAAAAAAATGATTGCATTCGTAAGGACATATAATTTTTCCAATTATCAGTCATCTGTCAAGCATGATTTTTTTTGTACAAAAAGAACAAAAGCTCACCTTTACAGCTTCTAATTGATCTTCCAAACTTCCAGAACCTTCCATCATGGCAGCTCTGTGAAGGAAAAATAAAAAAATCATCCACTTATCCTGAAAATTCAGTATGTAACTAATTAAGGTCCCTAAATAAAGCTCAGCTAAAATGAATGCTTTAAAATTGCTAAGAAGAATATACAAAATCAGGTTTTCCAACAAAGACTGCAGAGAAGAGATAGAAAAAAAAAAAAAAAAAAAAAAGAGAGACAAAAGGTGAGTAATTAACGAGAGAGAGAAGCAATGAAAAAAATTTGGGAAATGGAAAATAACTAGGAAAGAAATTTTGCATTTGGAATAAAAAAAAAAAAAATACTAAAATAAAGGAAACCATTTTCTTTGACTTTAGGTAAATCATTTTTCAATTGAAGCATGGCAAAAGATACAAAAAAGTCAGAAATTAAATTGTACAATTATTAGAAAATATTAAATTAAAAAAAAAAAAAAGTGTTGCAGTGGAGGCACTTTAAGATTTAACCTTTTAACAAATATAATAATTTTATATATAGAATAATGACAATATTGGAAAAGGAAAGAAAAAAAAAAAGAAAAAAAAGAAAAACTTTTCCTGAAGGAATGTGTAAAGCAGATGCACAATGCAAATAAAATTAATAAAAAGGTAAAGATTTGACATTCTTATATACAAAAAGAAATTCATTTTTGTTAGAGAGATAAGGGAGAAAAAAAACTTCAAATCAACAGAGAGCGCAGGAATCCTAACATCAACTGAAATCCTTTTAAGCCATTATCAATATTGAAAGAATTATTTGGAAATAATCTATGTAGACATAATTACATTAAATATCAAAATAAATGCCTAACCCACCCCAAACTCAAGCATGTATTTAGCCGTATATTCTTAAATGTATCACAAGTATATATAACAATTATTAAATTACAGTGGAGACTTTGTTTTTACAAGTAGAACTTGTTTTTTTTTCATCTTATATTTTCATCAAGTGATGTTAATAAGACTGAAAAACTAAGTTTTTAAAATCATAAGCTTAGTTATAGTTTATTAAGAATAAATCTATGGGTGTAAAAAAAAAAACCCACAAAAAACAAGAACAGCAAATAATCTGCAATAAAATGAGTTGAGAATTTCTGAGAACCTCTTTTATATTTCAATTATGGATGCATCAAAAGGAAATAAAAATTAGAATTGTACAATTTTATAATGATTTATGAAAGATGTTATTCTGTTCATTTGAACGGTTTAACAAACAAAAAATAATTTGTCACGCATGCTCTTGGCTGTTGTAAGTAGAAAAACAAAAATCGGTTAGTAACAGCAACTGAAGGGATATGGCCATGCTCTCTTCTATGAACAATCAAAAACATTTTCTCATGTGAGTTCAACTTTGAACATAACACAGCAAGGATAAATTATATCCAACAAAAGAAAATATTTCATCATATACTTACAAGTCTCTTGGACAAATTAAATTGTTCAAAGAGACAAAAAAAAAAAAACACACACCATGGAATTATTATCACAGACCTTTGGAAACGCAAAGTAAGTTTTTAAGATTTAAATTTACTTTTTAAACTTTTGCTTGTAGATATACTGTTAAAAGTAGAAACAGAAATAATGAGCTTCAAACAAAATACCCTAATAAAAGTGTCTGTCCGTATCAAAAGAATTTTCACAAATGCATAAGGAGCAGACTGTGGTTTGAGAAAAATTGTCTATTGAACAACTATTTAATGAAAGTATTCATAAAATACCTAGGACTATAAGTCTTGAAAGGTTTTCTTTTTGGTTAATTTAGAAAACATTCAATTCACTTTGACAAAAAGCATTTCTAATGACATGCCAAATTAAACAGTGTGCAAAATCATTTCCTAAAAACTGAAATGATTTTATGAATGTACAATTAGTCCATGAAATTAAACCTTTTTATATCAAACTAAAAGATTTAAAATTCCATTTGTTATAGTAAACTAAATTAATACAGAGTGTTAGATTTACAGAACTATTTTCTACTGAAAACAAAAAACAAATATGCTTTGAAATTATTTAAAATCTACAAAGTGAGAAAAGATAATGAGGGCAAAAAGATTTTTTTTTTCTTAAGCTCAGGGTCAGGTCGGAAGGGATAATTTGTTAAGTAAGGTCAGACAATTATGGTTAGTTTCATGTCGCCATGCTAAAAGTGGGGCAAAAGTTCTAAACAGTTTTGTCACTAACAATCTGGATACAAACCAAGCATTTTAAAAATACTGATAATGTTAAAGGACAGTTATGTGCTATACTTGGGGCTTAAAACATATTTTGACAGTATTATTATTATTATTATTATTGTCTCAGGCAATACATGCTAAGAAATAAACCGTAATAACCCGTCCAGAAGCCAGAGTCTAGAAGTTTGTTCAATGATGAAAATGTGCAATGGTCAAGTAACCAGGAAAAAAAAAAAAAAAAAAAAGAAAGAAAAACAAAGAAAATCATGAGCATTAATAATAAATATCATTATAATAATTATAAAAATTCTGTGTAGAAATAAATTTTTCTCTTTATAGGTTTTATATATTTAGGTGCTACTAACAAGAGAGTTGTAGAGGTTACCATTTCATTTTTACAGAGTGGATTAAATAATGGCATCTGTCATAATAGAAATATTTACAACAGAATATTTGCAATATTCACAAACATGTGAAAATAAAAAAAAAAATACTACAAATATCTTATAAAATCATAAACAACTTGAGTCTTTTAATTAATTTTACTTTTGAAAAAGGAAACAACGAAAATAATTAATCTTTCAAAAATCAGTCAAGTTTTTTCTTTTTACAACCTGTTGGAGGAATCAATTTTGTGTTTTGATAACCACAAATGCTGATGATTTCTTGTACTTGAATCAAATGATTTGTTCAGGATTGTCAAAATTCATGAGTTTATAACCAGAGAGAAAAAAAAAAAACATTTTGAATTTGTAAAAGAATTTTTCTCTAACGTCAATTATTCTAACAACTACGGATAAAGAAAACAAGCCTTTAATTTTAAATTCATGAAACCTAATTTTAAAATTTGCAATTAAAAACCAACATTTTTCTTGGTAAATTTTTGCAATGAATTCTAATCAGATCAGTCAGGAGTAGACATTTACGTTTTCATTTAAAATTAAAAAATGTATTGAAATCTTGGAAGAAGAGAATTCTAGTAAATTTCAAAATATGAAAATCATTCAAATTTTTGCTGTTATTTAGTGAGATATAGAAAGAACTAAAAATAGAAAGCAAGGGTGAAAGCAGCTAAATAGAAACAGACCTTGTCTCTGTAAGCCAAGAATGGAAAGCATTAGCAGCTTGGGCAAATTGTTTGCGGAGTTGATCGTTCTCCTCTTGGCGCTGCTGCTCTCGATTCAGCTCAACATCACGTTCCTGTTAAGAAAGTAATCAGTGACAGTATGTAAACAAAAGCAGTAAAACAAGATAGAATACAAAATGTGTATAAGTATCAAAGAATTCATAAATTCAATCCATATGTAATAATAACAGAATAACATGAATAATTGCATTTGCTCTCTTATGAAACAAGTAAAACAACAACAAGCAAGAGATTGCTTTCATGACGCAATGATTTATTTATATATATATATATATTATTTTTTATCAGACCACATATATATGAAATCATGTATCGGATTGTAAAGGCTACCAGTGCTTTTGGCAAACTTCACCATCAGTTGTCGAATGAGCGGGGTATTTGACTGGATACGAAGACTCGGCTTTACAGAGCTGTTGTACTTCCCATCCTTTTGTATGGGTCAGAGTCATGGACTCCATACAGGTACCATATACGCCAGCTAGATGCTTTCCATAAAATCTGTCTGCATGCAATCTGTGGAGTTAAGCTTCAAGATAGGACATCTAACAGACCTGTTTAACAGGTGTAATATTGGAGGAATCGAGACTTTTATCATACAGTCTCAGTTATGGTGGACTGGTCAGGTCTTGAGCATGTATGATGACAGGATACCTAAGATCCTAATGTACAGCCAGTTAGATCAGGGCTACAGGAATCTAGGATGCTCATGGCTAAGATACAAAGACAAGCTGAAAAGCAACTTGTCAGCAGTCAATATACTACATAACACACTTTAGTGCTTAGCCTTGGAGCCGGTAGAATGGAGATCAATATGTTTTAGTGGACTCAGTAATTTTCAAAATGCTTGTCTGAATCATCAAGAAGCAAGAGCAAGATCTAAAAGGTCAGCCAATCTAACAGTGATCTCATCTCACAATGATCACACTTGCTCCATATGTGGCCTCCTTTGTAAATCACTAGCGGGTCTTAAATGCCACTTAAGATTATCGCGCAAAATTTCATAACTGAATCAATAAGCTGTCAGATCCTCATACGTCGAAACTGACAGGAGAGTCCATTATTATTATATATGTATGTATATATATATATATATATATATATATATATATTCTGTATATTTCGGCAGCATATTTTCATTTAAACATCAAGTAGAGAAGCATGTTGCTAGGTTTTGGCAGGGAAACAAGTAGGAAAGTCCATGATTTGAATAAGGGATTGGGCAATGGAAAAATTTAATGTCTGAACACCAGCAACATCAATCCCTTTTAGAATGTTTAATCCATGTGTTGTGGTACGTATTAAAGTGACCAATGACAAAGATGTTCATGGACAGGTGGAGAGAAAGTGCGTTTTCTATACTGTCAGCAATTATGTCTAATATACTGCAGTCCTGGAAAGAGGGGGAGCGATAAAAGAAAACAAGATAGATAACAGAGTTTAGTGATGAAAGATGGAAGCACATTAAGGAGTATTCTGGAGCTTTGAGTAGGGATTTCCCTGGTCATCAGAAGATTATCCCAAATGTAAACACTAAGGCCATACATGCATTTTAATATAAATAAAATAGAACATAATACTTCCTCAAATAACCCTAAACATATCAATCATTTATATTGTAATCAGAGGCATTCCCAATATAAACAAGATAAAAAAAAGAAAAAAAAAAAAAAAAACTCAGGAATATATATATATATATATATATATAGATATATATATATATCATATATATATATATATATATATAGATATGAAGTGGAAAGGCTAGTTCAGCTGCTAAGAAAGTTGGTTCACTGTGTTGGGTGAGACAATTTTTCCCTCTGGAATCTATCTTGCATATCTATATGTCTACCATTTGTCCATGCTTAGAATATTGCTGCCACATGTGGTCTAATGCCCCTACTTTTTACGTAGAGCTCCTTGATAAGATCCAAAAAAGAATCTGCAATATTATTGGTCCTAATCTGGCAGCTCAGCTCCAGTCACTTTCCCCATCACCATAAGGTTGCCTCTCTATGGATGAGCTCTTTGCTATGGGACCTAGGATTTTTTTTAATTTAAGCACAGCACAAGACTGGGATCAAGATCTCATCAATTTACAATTGCACTGGCTAGATATAACCATAAATTCTATGCTAACAATTTCTTTTCTCACACTTCTCCTTTGTGGAACTCTTCTGGCTCAATGCTGTCCAGCCAAGCTTGAGCTGCAAAAATTTTAAATGCAATATCAATCACTACTATCCCCCCCGATTACTCTCTTCTCTTTCTGCTCATCATTAAATGTTTCTGTTCCTAATTCTTCCACACACTGTAACCCCTTGTGTTTTAGTGATGTTATTGTGTTACTTGGGGTGATTCCGATAGGGGGAGTTTAATTAACAGCCCAGCCCCCCCTTAAGTTCTGCAGTCATAAACTTCATACAGTGAGCAAATGAAGTCCCATAACTATAACCCAAATTTAATATCAAGGAAATTTAGTTCTTAAAATCCTCACACATTGATGGCAATAAAAATGAGAATTTATGGAGCAGACTATATGGTTAGAAAGCCTTTTCTTTTTAAGCATTTTTCCCCTCCCACCATTTTCTTAAAAGTTCATTAAAATGAACAAATACAGATCAAGGCAGTTTTTTTTTTTCCTAAATTCTGTTGTAATGAAAGTTAAAGATACTAAATCTTTCAACTGAATAACCTGCTATAATTAATCTATTTGTAAAATCTGATTTTATCCTGTCAACATCAGTTCCTGATGTTGTTGTACAAAGAAAGTGAAGTAAAAGACTCAATATTGAATATTGTGTGTTTGAGGAAGAGGAAGAATGGTAGACGATGCCATTATTCTTACCTTGATGATCTTCTGCAAGTTCCTCCATGTGTCTTCCAAGGCCTCCATATTGAACCAGGTGTATGGATTGGGGCCTACATTGAAACTTTTAATTTGTTTATCCAGAGTTGTCAGTTGATTGAAGTCTGCTTGGGCAGCACTCAGTGATGCTTTGAATTGGTCATGGGCTTCTCTCAAAGCCTACAAAAAAAAAATAAATAAATAAATAAAAAAAAAAAAAAATAAAAAATATTATACATCTCAAACAAAAATATTTCTATTTATCATGATCGTTCATCAAGTCTTGAAATACCAAGTCAAAGACAGAAATTTTTTTTTTTTTTTTTTAAAAACCAAACTCGGTTTTTCTTTGTGTTTTATGAAAAATTTTTAGATTTGACAACAGAAGATTTTAGAGACAAGTAAGAATATATCAGTTACTTTTTAAATGGCCTTGAAAGGTTCCCCAATATTCTTCATTGATTGAACTTTGTTCAACTCTTAACACAAAATCATATTGATCATTTATTTTTTTTTTTTTTTTTAATCATTACTGAACTGATTATATCCTGAAAACAAACCCAAATGCTTCTCAATATTGAAGCTATTAATGCCTAATAAACATTTTCAAAAGCATATGGTATCCTACCGAACCAATGTCCAAAGAAAGTTTGTAATAAAGACAAAGGTTTACTTTTTCTGAAACAGGATAACTGGATGTACAAATCTTAAATTGAACAAGAAAAATTACTGAAAAAAGAGTCTCACCTTAATTTCCTCCACTGAGTTACACCTGACAGGGTCAGTGAGGTCCTCTTCTGCGTTTTCAAACCAGCTGTTAAATGCTGAAGCCTTCTTAGCGAAAGTAAGGTAGAGGTCCTCAATCTGTCGATACTGCTCCTGGAGTTTTAGGAGACGCTGCTTTCGGGATTCAGAATCGGCCAACAACTTTTGCCACCTGTCAAAAGGAGCCAAAAAGAAGTCATAAGATAACAAATATAAAACAGGCAACATTGTTTAACAACATTTCCAGCTTCTTTCTTTCATCAAATCCTTCAGTAACAGGAAAATATTTCTTTTTCTACATTTTCATTAAATATTTTGAAATAAAATTTAAAAAGTTAAGAAATGCTTAAAAATAAATGAAATAAAAAAAGCATTTTCTGAATAAACACATTTTTCCAGACCAGTAAATAATCATGGCAGTGTTGCTCATTTAACTGACTATAAATTTACCATCATTCGCTACGAGTAGTATTTAGCAAGAATTATAAAATAAAAGCAATTTCAAGTGGTTTTCTATAACATTTTATACTTTTTTTATATTTTTTTTACATCCTAAAACAATAAACTTATAATTGAGATCACATAAGATATATTTGTATAATTTGAATAATTATAAGATTTATAAGTTTTTTTGTTTTTTTTAACAAAATGATTTTTGAAACATTTGAGAGAAATAAAAAAAAAAAAACCCTTACATGAAACACCACTAAGCATATTTAACCTACATCAGCAAAACTTAAAGGACTTGGGAGACTAAAATTTTCTGGCAATGTGTCTTACCTGGCAATTACATCATTGTACCGTTTTTCAATGGCAGGTGTCTGCGCATGGTTGGACAAGATAAGTTGTTCTTTTAAGGCTGTGATAGTGTGAATGCCTTCCTTCTCAAATGCCTGCAGACCAGCATCAAAGGTTTCCTGGGTAAAAAGAAAAAAAAGAATTAGATGGACAGAAAAATGTAATCTTGACTCAATATAAATATAAATTAGAGAAAACATCATTATGACTAAGATTTGACCTACCTGCTTGGTCAACAGGGTTTGTACAGAAGATAGGTCTCGACCGTAATCATCGGAGCGGACTTGGGTCTCTTTGTCCGCTGCAAGAAGAGAGAAAGGTTTTAAATATCTTGATTTTTCTCTAAGCTACTTTAATTATTTTTATGTCAAGAAAGAATTTGAAAAATGGTAAATATTTTCACCTTTGAATATTTAAATCATGAAGAAGAAAAAAAAAAAAAAAAAAAAAACGATTCAAAAAGTGAAACAAACTGATGAAATGAAAAACTTATTCAGAAAATGACATTCTATTTCACATTTTGTGCTGTAATTAACTTTGGTCACCCCAGCACTTTCAGGATAACTGAAACATTTTATTTATTTTTTAAGACAACTATTCTATTAAGAAAATGAATAAAATTAAACATTTGTATTCTGAATGTTATTTAATGATCCTTACCAATCCAGCTTTCCACAACATCGGTCTTCCAAATGAACTGTAAGAAGGCAGAATTGTCAACCAATCCTGTATGTCTCTGTGCTGCTGCATTCTCCAGTGAAGCCAACTTCTCTTGTAAGCTGTTGATACGTTGTTGGATGGCTGGAGCATTGTGGTTTTCCTGGAAAGACAAATAAATGCAACATCAATAAACCAAAGTAGGACTTCTTTATATGCATTCATTTGTTTTTGCATCATAAACAAATCCTGAGAATTTGAATAGTAGCCAATATTTACCTCATCTATTAGATTCTGTCCTTCCCGCTGGATCTCAACACATCGGTCCTTATGGACTTGGAAGTCAGTAATAAAGGCTTCATGTTTCTTGAGCAGACCCTGAAAGACAAGGTAAACATTAGGTTGAAATAAAAGAAATTACATTCTATTAGATAAATTGTTTAAAAATTATAAAATAGAAATGTTATTGGACAATACGAGAAATAGAATCTTTCTTTGATTTCAGCAGTTGTTGAGAGAATTAAAAAAAAAAATCTCCCAGTAAACAATTTTTAATCTGGAAAATCTTTTTAAAAACCTGAAATTATTTTGTCTTAATTTAGTGGTGTCAAAAAAAAAAAAAAAAAAAAAAAAAAAATTGTTATTTTAAATTTTTTTTCAAAATCCTAACCTTTCAACAGTTGTTCCAAAATTACAAAGATGAAATTAATAAAGAGAAAAATTTGAAAATGCCACAATTGACTTGTGCCCCTAATGAATAAGATGGATTGCTTTATAATTTATGACAGCCACAAACTTGGCCCATTTTTATGATGAAAATTAATCTATAATTTGAAGAGAGGAATATTTCTTTATTAGATGGACCCACTAATAATGAATACATTTGATATTTGCTTATTTTAAAAAGAAGGAAATATGAAAAGATATAAAATTTGCTATAAAAAAAAAAAAAAAAAAAAAAAAAAAAATCAATAACTTGAAAAAGAATCCTATCTTCTTTCTAGTTCAATGAATAGTAAAAGTGCAGCTACTGTCATAGCTGACAATAGCTGCAACAGCCATTTTACTGCTATTAGTCAAAAAATGAAAGAATGCATTGCTCACTTAATTTGATAAATAATAAGACAGCAGAATAATATAATCATTTATATTTACTTGGACAGCAGCCATGGTGTCACCATAGTCTCCTCCAGACAACAAATGCAGCTTCTCTGTGATCCATGCTTCCTCTTCTTCCACATTCGCTGTAAATTGCTGGAATGCATAAGACTGTTCCAGCTTCTGACCCCTTAAAAAAAACAAGAAAAAACACCAATAGATCTATGTACCATTAAAAAAAAAAACAAACAAAAAAATAAACAAAAAAACCTGGAAAATAGTAAATGACTGTTCAATTTTAGTTTCTTTATTATAATCAACAATAAAATGTCCTTTGATTATACAAAAGACTTAAATGGTTGTCATAAAGGCATGCTTTTAAAAACATATCTCAGAAAAAGTGATTTGAAAATTGCAGGTTGGGAAGCAATTTACTGGTTTAGATGTTTAGATTTGAAAAACTTTTTTAACACTAGTTCATCCAGTGTAAAAATGGCTGTTTTTCAATTTCCTATTTAGTTGCAATTATTATTCTTTACCCATTTGCACATACATTCACCAATGTCTTCCGATACCCCCACCCCACAAAAAAACAAAAAAAAAACAACCGTTTTATTTTTTGTTCTCATCTAAATTTTACAACAGATACATTCTTTGCATTATTTATCTAAACTACCCGACATCGTTATAAAGACACTGCCACCTTACACTGTCAACATTAAACGTTACAGACATTACAATGCAAAAAAAAAAAAAAAAAAAAAAAAAATGTACTTGGCATATTATAGAGTAAGATATATAATCCTCAAGTTTCTTAAAAATTTAGAATTTCAAGGTTTAAATTTCTGATTTCAGCAATTGATATGAAAGATCATGGCTTTTTAAGTGAGTGCAGAGAAATTCATTCAGGAATTGAGGAAAAACAAAAACCTGCTTACCTGTGGACACACAGTTGATTAAGTTCTTCCCAACTCTGGGCCAAGCCGTTGAGACGAGCCTCAATGTCAGCAACGTTGATATCGGACTCGGTGATCAAGCGACGCCCAGTTTCCTGGACAGCCTGAATTAAAAAAAAAAAAAAAAAAAAAAAAAAAAAATAAATAAACAAAAAATTTTGATTAGATATGGACTTGTTCAAATGTTTTTTGCAGAAAATATATTTATTTTTTTTAAGAAATCTTATCCAACATGGAGATTGAAATTCAACTTAACCTAATCCAGTCACTTTGATCTTTTTCATGAAACAGTAACCAAATCTAAATTTATTAAACTTTTATATCTAAAATCTTCCTGTTAAATTCTTTAAACAGATTTTTGTATAAAACATAAAGTAGGCAATAAAAAACAAAAGATCAGCATATTAGACCTAAGTTAGAAAAAAAAAAAAAAATCACATTTCAAATTATTTACACATCAAATACAATAAGAGTCAAGATTTTTAAGGAATTTTCATTTTGTTATTATTATTATTATTATTTGATATTGAAAATTCTTGTTAAAAAAATACTTCAACAAGTCACCTGAATTGTAGGCTCATGGCTGTTTAATTCTGCCTCTAAACGCTTGTGTTTCTTTCTTAAGTTCTGGACACCAGTCAAGTCACGACCATAATCAGTAGAGTTAACAAGGATTTTCTTTTCCCTAAATAAAAAGAGACACAAAAATAGTTAACTATTTTCATAGGAATTATTAGTACTTACTGCTAAGCTTTTAGAAACATTGGCAAACAAATGTAACACAAGCAACAGCAGAACTCATACAAATAATAATATTGAATTGTCTAGAAAATTCATACCAATTTTTAGTTGTTCCACTCCAGATGACGACCAAATCAAGACATTGATTGAGAATAATCTGCATTACACAATGTGGGAATTGGCCAAAAACACTAAATTTATCAAAATCCACCATCCATGAGCACTTGGGTACTCAAATTGCTACAATGATTGGGTACCACATGATCTGAGTGAAAAGAATCTTTTGGATCACATTTCATCTGTGATCTGCTGTATAAATGCAATGAAAATGTGGCATTTTTGAAGCAAGTTGTGATGGGTGATAAGAAATGGATTGTTTACAACAATAGTTCAGCAAAAAAGACCCTGAGGTAAGTGACATGAGCCAACCTGAACCACCTCATAAGCAGGTCTTAATCCTAAGAAAGTCATGCTGTGCATCTGGTGGGATTGGAAAGGAATCCTGTATAATAAGCTTCTGCCAAATAATCAGTCAATTGATTCTGAAAAGTACTGCTCACAACCAGACAAATTAAAAGGCAGCAATTCAAGAAAAATGCCCAGAATTGATGAACAGGAAAGGCGTTTTTTTCCATCAGGATAATGCCAAACCTCGCATTTCTTTGATCACCCAGCAAAAATTGTGGCACCTTGGCTGGGATGTGTTACCCCACCCACCTTATTCACCAAATATTGTTCTTTCTGATTTTCATTTATTCAGGTCATTGCAAAATGATCTCAATGGTAAAAAAAAAAAAAAAAAAAAAAAAAATTCTTTGGATGACATAAAAAACCACCTTAATGAGTTCTTTGCTGAAAAACAACCAAAATTCTGAGAAGATGGAATCTTTAAGTTGAAGGAAAAATGGAGAGAAAGGGTTGTGCAACAAAAAATGCCTAATATTTAGTTGAATAAATATTTAAATGGCATAATTTTGTTGTTTTAATTTTCCTTAAAAATCAACATGAACTTTCCAGACAAGCCAATAGAACATGTGGCAGAGCTATTCAATATGGCATAGAAACACCCACCCACACACAATCGAGAGCAGCAGCAGGTCTTCACTTTTTCATGTGTTAGTTCATTTACTGGAAACATGATTATATCCCAACAGCTATAAAAATTTCATGACTGCATTAAATTAATAATTCAGATAGAAATATTGCAGAACATTTTTTTTTTCATTTGCTTCTGGTATAAAACACTTTCAACGTTTATTCAGCATAAAAAAAAAAAAGAAAACAAATTCAATGTTTTATTTAGTTATGGTACAAGGTTTTGAAGCAAAGAATTAAACAGTTCATTCAGTTATAATACATAAAACTTACTTGATCCAGGCTTCTTCATCATCGATGTCTCTCATGAATTGGTGCCTGGTATTTGAATCATTAAGACGCAGACGCCGCTGGGAAGCCAACTCTTTGATTCTATAAACAAAAAAAAAATTTTTTTTTTTTTTAAATATTTTTTCATTCTCTTTCCTTTTCATAAGATTTTAAAAATATGTTTTTGTTGTTAATTGATTGAATGGATTGATTTAATAATTATTACTTTGTATCAAGTGCTACATGAAAACCTAAAAAAAATACATGCAGTAGAGTAGACATGTCAAACTGAGGGTTCCCAAGGGCTACATGGCCACACACGACAACCAATTGTGCACATTACAACTAATTGGAGTCATTTATTACAGAATATTTTTGTTACTTAAATTTAGAATCACACAACAGGCAATCAAATGTTTTAGCAGGATTCATGTACACAAAGTAATGAAGTAGTTTGATAAAAAAAAATAAAATTTTAAACAACATAAACTCGCAGTTTGCAATAGCAATACATACAAAGTACAAAAATGACAAGAGTTCAAAACTGAACATTTATTTGCCACTATTCAGTCAATGCAGAATCCATGCAGAATCCGACTGCATTTTTAATAGTTCTATCTGCAGACTTTCTTGTATCTTGGCAATATCAAAGGTGAATGGTGCTAAGAATAATGCAAACTGATGTTCAAAAGAAGAGAAATCACTAAATCTTTTCTGAAATTCCTTTGACAACAATTCCAGGTGATTGTCATACTTAGCAAAGCTAAGTACAGTCTTGTTATTGGCATGGCTTTTCAGCTCTTTGCACATAGGAAAATGGAACTAAATTTTCATTTGACAATTGACTTCCATAAGCTTAGTTTTGCAATGAAGCACTTGATGTCATCATACCACTGAGTGATAAATTTCTTTTTTTTTTTTTTTTTTTACCCTGTACTTTCAAATTAAAATCAGTTTATGGTGCAATAATATCCATAGCAAAAACCAGATCTTGGAGCCAACTTTCATTTCATCTGTTTTGATCTTTCATTTCCAAAAACAATTATTTCTTGTCTCAATAATGACAACCAGCAGACTTCTGTGTAGAATGGAACATCGGTGAACGGGATTATCTATATCTTTCAACAACTGACTGAACTGATGGTGGTTGACAGCATGGCCTCTGATATAGTTCACTGTCTTTGTGACCAAGCTAAGCACATGAATCAATTTTAAAATCTTTGAACACAAATTTTAATGAATAATAAAGTGAAAATGTGCAAATGATGAATCTGAATGTGAGTTTTCTAGTTTTCTTTGTAATTTGACAGCAACACCATTATGTCTGCCAACTATATTTGCAGCACCGTTAGTAGATAAACATGCAAGTTTACTCAAAAACTATATTCATGCAGGACCTGCTCAACTCTCTCAAAGATGTCCTGGTTTGTTGTGGTGTCATGCATTGAGACCAGTTCAACCAGTTCTTCATAAATATTAAATTCACTGTCACAGGCCCTGATGACGATTACAAGTTGTGCTATTCTAGTGATGTCAACAGTCTCATCAATAGCGAGAGAAAAAAAAATGTTCATATGTTGATGATACAGCCTTCAACTGTTGTTTCAAATCACCTGACATTTCATCAATCCATTCAGTAATAGCATTCCTGGTTAATGAAATATCTTTAAATAAGTGTGCTTTTTCTGGATATACAATTTCAGCTGTTTTTACAAGGCATTGCTTTATGAAATCTTCACTTTAAGATTTCCTATTCATGGTTATCATTCAGCGGAGTTCATAGCTTGCTATGACAGAAATGATATTCTTTTTCATAATTTTCATAAAAAAGGTCTGTTGCTGTATCAAGTTAGCCTTCAACTCCTTGAGATGTGTAATGTGCATTGGGCTAGGCGGTTTGTTTCATAATTTCTTTTCAGGTTGTACTCTTTCGACATGGTGATGGAGTTGTTGCAAATTAAACAATGTTCATTCAACATTGTGCAAAAATACCGTAATTCCCATTTTTCTTGAAACACTCTTCCTTCTTCATTCAATTTCCTTTTTCTCTTAATTGGAGGAACACTAGACCTTTTAGGGTTGAAGTAGTGAGAAAAAAAAAAAAACCCAACTAATTTTCAAAATTGATGATGCAGAATTTAAAAAATTACTGGTACATTTAAACTACAGCTAACAGTAAAAAGAGATAAAGCAATTTTGATAATGCCTCTTAAAACCTTTTTTGGTTGACATTTTACCATTAAAAACAAAAAATTTTGAAAGAAAATTTTATTTACAATTGTTAATGAGTTGTCATATTGTTTTCGTGGTGTGGTGCCATGGCTACTAGAGAGAATTTATTCCTGCACTATTTTCTCAATCCCCAAGAATATCGAATATGAGCTACAATTTTTAAAATAATAGGTTAAAGTTTGTTGATAATATCAAAATTATTTTAAATAAATTTATGCACTAAATGTTATCCTTATTTGGTATTCTATTAAAATAAATAAAAATGTAAAAAACATGAGATTCATTTTCATAAATACTGTAATTTCTAAATTATAAAAACTGCAATTTTGGCAGTTAAATGACTAAATTAGTATCCTTTGTGTGGTCTGCAGGTGTACTTGTAAAGTGCTGCATGAGGCCCACACGTTGTATGTTTGACATGCCTGCAGTAGAGTCAAGTACTGGTGGTTTTATCAAGAAAAATAAATGCATTCATACACTGGTACTAAAAAAACATTTAAATTTCCATAAATAAATTTGTTTGCATTAATGATTTAAATTTTCTTAAAATTATGAATTTGAAACAAACAGAAATGAAGATTGGAGAGAAATATAAATTTTGTTTTGTTAATAATTCTAAGCCATGTCAGAAATTGATTGTTTTTTTTGTTTTTTTTTTTATTTATAAAAACAGAATTGCTCCTCACTCTAGAATCCTGTAAAATTTAAGTTATAATCATCAGTCTGTTGTTTATGAACAGGTTACATCTGTGTGTCAGTCTTTATAGGACAATTGTTACAGAACTTTACATAGAATGGATTTAAGAGAAAATAAATTTTACCAATATCTATCATTCTTCTGAAAAATTCTTACTGCCTTTCTCTCAAGTTTGTTTAAAATAAATATCTACACATTCAGATTTAGCAAATTTTACAAGTATTCCCTTACACTGTGATTGCAAATAACAGAGCATATTAAAGATGATCTGCATCTTAATTTTTGAAAACATTTTACTTACACCATTTTCTAAAATAAATATTTTATTGAAACTTACTTTTCATATCTTTCATTAATGGTCTTTTTGCGTTCTGCAATGCTCTCCACGTCCCAGCCAGCTTCCAAGAATTGATCAGCTTGAGTATTTAGATCTTTAATACGGTCCTAAATATACAAAACAAATAATATTACAAACACCCAATACAAGTCAATGTTCAACAAAGGGAGGCAATTTAATTTTGAAGCTAATTTTAAGGGCATTGCATCAGACAAAAGAAATTAGCATATATACCGCTGGCCCTGGCTACACCATTGACCAAACTACATAGCACTGTAGCCAAAAAGTACAGCTGTATTTAAAATAAACAGGATTTTAATAAAACTGATATTTTACTTAACTGTATCAAATAATAATGCACATGTATTATAAAATACAAACATATCAAATATGCATCTTTTCCGTTGTTTACGTTTATAAGATGTTTAGCTGTTTCCCATTCGGTTATTTATAGCTGTACACATTTACACAGTGAGTAGACTTTTATAATTCTCTTTTACTATTTTAACTTATTTAACTAGATGGGTTAAAGAGATAGAGGAAAAGAGGTTAGTCTATTGTAATTTGGTCTTTCAAAAAAGGAATTCGCATGATAAAATAATTTTTTATAAGTGAGAATTTGGGGGTTGCCTGATACGCGAGATCATGTGTTACATTAGTATATACAGTAATTTAAACAGAAAAATTTCTAAAAATAAAAGGTTTTTGAAGCATTCATTTTTTGTTTACTAGGCAACAATGTTTAATAAAGACTTTACCTCATGTGCACCAACGTCAGCTTCTAATAGTTGATGTTTCTTTAACAGATTCTGGATAGAAGCCAAGTCTTTGCCATAATCTTCTGATGCCAACATTTGTTCCACCTAAGAAACAAGAAAAAAAAAAACAATTTAAAAAAAATAATAATAGAACCTCATAATAAATGCTTCAAGCTGGAGTTTCAAAACACAGAGCTTGAAATTTGAAGAAACATTTCAGGAATAATTATGAGAAAATTACTGATATTGGCAAAATACTAATTTCTAGAGCTTGAATTGAAAAAGGAGTAATTATTCAAGTAATTATTTCAACATATCTTAAGTATTTATTTTAAACTTACCAATTTGTTAAATGTTTTATGTATATATATTTTGTTATTCCTCTGTGTAATCAATGTTCATATTGAACAAATCAGATTTAAATTTATGCTATAATAAAAACAAATGCCAAGAATGTAATTTTACAAGTTTTGTCTGTTGTCAAACCTCAGACACTGAGTATAGGCAACTGTGAACCAAAGAAATGATAGGGTATTTATTAATGGACTTATTCAATGCTTGTAAAGAGCTACTAGCTGACGGTAGCTGAGTATTCCTATCCCCTCCAGTGGTCAAATTAAACTATAACTGATTGGAAGGGAAAAATGTTAAAAATGCATTTTAGATTTTACAAAAAGGTAAAAGACAGAAATAAATTGAAATAAAAAAGATCCGCCTGTTTTTTGTTTTCGTTTTTTTTTTTTTTGTTCTCCCACCCTCTCCAAGTAGCATGTATAAAATACAATCCCTAATTTATTTTGTTATGCAATTTAAATAAGTGCCAGAAACAACTTGATAAAGCCTTATATTCTTTTGGCAATCCATTCACGATGCCTGAATGTAGTCTTACCTCACCAAGCCAAAAGTCAATATCCTTAACTCCTGCATTGTAAGATTGTTGTTTGTTTGCCTCCTTCAGTTTTTCACTCTTTTCAGTTGATTTGGACACCAGTGATTCCCACTGGCTGGACAAACTCTCCAGTCGCGCCTTCACAGCATCCTCAGAGCCGGCACATTGGCGACGTTCAATCAAGTCTAGCATTAAAGAAAGCACACTTAAAACAAAATTGAATGTACTTTTATTTAACTTTTTTGTATCAAAAATTCAAATCAAATAACTGCTTTGATGACTCAATAAGCAACTAAATAGCAATTTTTAATATTATAACAGTTTATATACTGCTAGTTTCTTAATGTTTCCTTCCTTTGCAACATTAAGAGTTTGATTGCCTACCAGAGGCACAGTTAACTTTAGATTTACTTTCTGTGTATCCAGTAAAAATGCATATAATGCACAACATCTTACTGGTGTTTAACAAATCATTGGTTATGGTAAGGTAAATGCATGATATTGCAAAAAAATGTTATTTAGCATGAAATTGTCAGACAAAGAAAAAAAAAAAGGGAAATTAGAAAATTTAAAAAGTTTAAAAATCTCTAAGATAATCATTCATTGAATCAAATTAAGCTAAAAATGAATGCTACATGGACTAAATTTGACTTGGAAAAAAAAAAAAAAGAAAAAAAAAAAGATTACAAATTCAAAAACATCTGATAGAAAAATATAAAACAAGACCATAATTGAGAAAGCAGAAGAAAAAGAAAAAAAAAATCACATGATTGAAGTCTCATAGAATCAAAAGATGACTCATGTTAGGAATTAGGAATAATTCAATATCCAAGGTCAACCTTAATCCTGACAATATTAGGTACCATGGATTTTGAGAGTTGCAAAATAACTCAGCCTAGAGATCATTTTCTTCTTACTCTTTAAGAGTCAGAGGATATTACAGGCATCTTAAGTGTTAAAATTCCACATCACAGGACATTTAAATTCAAGAACAATATTAGGGATCATCCTTGAGGTATTTGTAATTCTATATACGCTTTGTTCTAATTTATTTGTAGTGCTTGATAAGATTTAAACTATCTACTTGGAATACTCATCAGTAAATTATGAATTAAAGTTATCATTAAGAAATTTTCTTTAATAGAAACAAACATTTGCAATACAAACCTTATTTACTGAGGTAGATTTCATTTTTCATTCAAATAAATAAATGTTCCTATTAACAGTTTTCAAGAAATAACAGGAAATTTCTCACAAATATTGACAGCTCAAAATAAATATTATAACAGAAATATCTTGCAGTGTAAATGCATCAAGAAAGATCGACTGTAAATAAGTAAATGATATTTTTATAGATTCGGCCAAAATCTGAAATATTCTAAAAAGAAAAACAATATGTACATAATATACTGAACTATAGTTAATAGTAATGGTTTAATTTAGAATTTATTTTAACAATTATAAAAATTAGTTCTAAGAAGTTTGTACATTAGTCATAAAAATAGACAAAATAACTTCAATTTGTTTTTACTTACAATATAATGAAATATGAATCACATTGAAACAAACAATAACTATTCTATGGAACAAATAAACACACATATAATCAAGCCTAACTAGTTTGCAACTAAAAAGAACATCAATATTATAAAAGAACAAAATATAATTATCTACAAACTATTTTCATCTACGTAATAAAAGATATTGAAATGTTTTTTTTCCTCCAAAAAGAGAGAAGAGAGACAAAAGAAAGCCAAGACTGCTGATGCTGCGGAAATGGCGGCAATATTTTTTCTGTTGCCAACAATAACAGTCACACAGAGGATGAACCCTCGAAGACTGCTGCATTCCTGCTGGCGATGAAAGCTGACAAAAAGCTGAGGCTGAACCAGAGAAACGGCACGTTGGGCAGACCACAGAGAAATAGGTTGGAAAGGATAGCACAAGGGAAGAAAACTTACTATTACCGGTAGACAGGAGAGCTTGTAAACGATCTGCATTGGCTGCAAGTTCAGCCTCAAATGCTTGATGCTTCTGATGTTTACTCTGTGAGGTTAGGTGAATAAAAAAAATTGTGTTAGTCATTATCAGGACAAAATCATAAGGCATTACTGAAAAAAAAGAAGTATTCTAAATAATCCTATCAAAAAGTAACTGCAAAAAATAAATAAATTTCTAAGTGTCAACAAAATTTATCCCATCCTCACTCAACCAAACCCACTAAGAAAAATAGAAAATAGAGTTGATTTTTTTTTTTTTTAAGTTTTTATAAGCTTGGTGCTAATAACAGACAGGCATAGAGCTTGAATGTTTAATAAAAGAACTGTTTGACATTTAAATGAACATCCAAAATATGAGAAGGGTTCAATTTTTAACTTATAAAATGAAAGACCCAGGCAGCATGATGAACTTTCCACATCAAAATAATTTCAGAAATATCAGAATGATAGAAAAAAAAAAAAAAAAGAAAAAAAGTGTGAAATTCAACAGTCTTGTGATCTGATCATTGTTATGAGGCTGCTTAAAACATTAAGTCAACAGCTAGACAATTTCTAGATAATTAAATTATTGAACAATATTAGAAAAAAAAATCTAATGAGAAACAATTTTAAGTTTGTCAGGTATATTCATGTTTATACCAATATCAAACTCATATCAAACAAATACAATAAAAAAAAAAAAAAACCAAGCTTATTGTGTATGTGTACTCATATGTATGAAAGTATGCATATATTTTGCTATACTCATTTTAATATTGATATAAATTTGATATTTTATTAACCTATTTATTCTGCTTCAAGAAAGAGGTTTTGTTCCAAATGCTAATGCACTTGATTATGGGACTTGAAACTCAATGCCTCTCCTTTCTCTACTCGACTCCATTTCCAAATAAGAATTGGTAAGAAGTGACATCTCAGTAAAGAGAACACTCTTCCTCCTCTTCTTTCTAAGTACCCTTCATTTTAATTAATCCAACACTTACCAATATTATTTAAGTGTATAGACATTCAAGTCCACTTACAGTGCAACAATTCAATTTCAATGTACAACAAAGTACAAGTTTAAATTTAAGATTTTAAATTCTTAATTTACCCCATAAAGCATGAGCTTGGCTATGTAGCCTAGTTGCTTAAACATTCTACTGGGAAAAAATTTGTTAGACTTTCTAATCATCTAAATAAACTGATTTTTGATATTTTAAGAACAAACAAAGTTGAGAAATGTAATCAAAAGATGTCAGTTGTTTGAGGTTTCCATATTGTTGTAGTTAAGCATTATTAAATCCTATTATTAGTTCTTTGATTTCACAAGAGGAAAATTATCAAGTAAGAAAATGGAGTCAATTATTATATCTGTTCTTGTTTTATTAACATGCTCCACTTTTGAGGGTCTGAATAGACCTTATAGCAAAGGTAAAATTAAGTTCAAAAGTTTACAAGTGGAACTTGAAAATATAGTTTCATAAACATTTTACTTATTAAAAGTATATGAATAAAATTTAAAATATTTCAAAATGAAAGAGAAATTTGAAATTAAATACTTTTACAAAAAGTTACTTAGGTTAAAACTCCTAAAAATGAACATGAGAATCTTTCATTCAAAAAGCAGCCAAAATGAAGGTCATAAAAGATTAAAAAAAGAAAAAAAAAAGAAAAAGAGGTTAATAAAGCTGAATAATCAATATTAATATAGTCTTATTTATATGCAGAATACAAGATAAATAAAATCTTTAAAAAGGCATTGCTTTTGCACATAATGTCAACCAAGCTAATAGATAGATTACCAGTATCAGGATGGAGTTAAAAAAAAAAAAAAAAAAAAACCCAAAAAACATTGTACAGTAACTGAAACTATATCATCTCAAGGTTGAAAATTTACTAAAGATGGCATTTCACCACTCAACTGGTTTTGTTTTTTTAAGGGTTGACTTATGCAAGACTTGTCATCATAGATTATATTTGTTATCACCTACAAATGTCAAAGAGATCGTTAAAATAAACTGTGATCCAAAGAGATCATTATCAAAATTGTACCAGTATCGTTGATCAGATAGCAAATAACTTTAAATATGATACAAAAGGCATTGATATTGACAATTAGTTGTTAAATTCAAACTAAGACAAAAACCATAAAAAGGTATTTAGGGAAACATTAAGCTCTAAATATGTGTTTAGCTTGTGTGCAAAAAAGATTTTTTTCTATGTAGCAATAGATTTTAGGGAATCTGTTCTCTTGCAGGGAATTTCCATTTAGAACACTTAATGAATTTTGACACCCTAATCAAATGTATGTGAAAATATTGTCTACTTTAAAGAAACAAGTCACATCAAATTTAACAGCTGGAAAATCTCTTAACTAATTTTTTTTTATTTTTTGTAATATGATAATGAAATGAAAGCATTCATTCAATGCAAAAGGAAAATATTTTTGTCATCTACCATAGCTTCAAAAGAGAATTTCAAAGCATCAGTTAAAGATTGCCGCCAGGTGAGACTATTATTTTTTTTTTTTTTTAACTACAGAAAACTATAAAAGCATTTTCCTGGCAATTTTCATATATAAATATTTACCTTTACTACAAATATCAATAATTGAGATTTCTAACCTAAAATACTTTGAACTGTAATTGTGAATGATTCTGTGTTTTCAAACAACACAAACAAGCAATAATATTAATATCATATCAAGAAAAACTCGGCATAAGAGATTAACAAGTAAAAATGGACAGCATTTTTCAAAAGGAAACTTTCTATGATTATCAAAGTTAGAAGATAGCTTAAAGATTGAATCATTAAGTACAACTCAAGTACTTGAAATTCAAGATTGATCAAATGGTTATACAATTTAATTAGGAAATAACATTCATTGCTACATGTAATAATAAAACCATGAGTGGCATGTGTAATTGAGGTTTTGGGGTAGGGGGGAGATGAAAGACGATGAAAAGGTGCTACTAAGTTTACCAAATTAATAAAACATGATATACAGTCAAAAGAGTAAGGAGATCAGTGGTTATGTTCCAATGATTTGTTCAATCAACACAACCAAATGCATAAATTATTTCTATTGTAGTAAAAAAAAATTAAAAAAAATGAATAAATCTAAAGCAGGAGATTTAGGTAATTTAAAAGAATAGGCAGGCCTTCAGGTACTAATGAAATTAGAAGATCTAAGTGTTTATATAATAAAAAGGTGCCCACACAAGTCAGAGGAGTTAAAAGAAAAAAAAAAAAGAAAAGGATATTAATCCTAACTATTAAAAAAAAAAAAAAAAAAAAAAACTTACAAACCACACAAAACAAGCAGTTAGAAGAATGATGAACAAGTTAGTTAGGTTACAAATTAAGAAATAACTTAGCATTCCTATGAATAGAAAATGGAATAAAAGATTCATGCATTATAAACAAAGAAAAAAAGAATCAAAATGTAAATAGAGGATAGCACTAAGAATTTGGTCATTTGGAAATTTTAGAATCAATCTGGAATATTAAGATTTGTACAATGACAATCTAATCCCTTTTATAGGTGATAAGACTTCATTGTTAATGCTTCAGAAAGCATATCAAAGTAGAAATAATTGATCACTATGTACAATACCTAACTAAAAAAAGGTGATATGAAGGATAGTGATTTAGACTGTTCCATGAGGGATGACAAATTGGCTCACTTCATGTCCAATATTTTTATGAGAGAGAGATTTAGGTTGTTTTGTTTGGTTAATTTAATGACATATCAACCCTTTTTGGGTTATTTAATGCCAGATGTAAGTTTTATATCTAGATTACAATTCATTTAGTCAACCAAGAAAGCTATTTTCAAATGTTTTATGGAGGATCATGTATGTTAGCATCTGGTATTTTCAGTCTAATACCTTTCAAAATAGATGTTCAAATTCATCTAATTCAGGGATAACCTTGAACATTAAAAATCATTTTAAAAAAATAATTTTTAGAACTATCATTTTAACAAATAAAATAGATGTACAGAAACAATGAACTAAGTTTTTACATTAATTAATGTAATTTATGCAAATTTTGAAGATATAAATCAAGATGATTACATTTTTTTTCTTTTAAGTAGAACTTAGTGCAGCAAAGCGAGTGTTTGCTTCACACTATTTCAATGTGTTTGATAACAATTCTAGTTAATAAATTGGCAGTTTACATTTAAAATTTACAAAAACTACCTCTAATTTTTTACCTGGAGCTCATTGATGAGATTCAAGAATTTGTGAAGCACATAAGGCATTTTCTTTTAAATATAGAAATGTCACATTTTATTTATTAAAGATAAAGGAATTCTGCTGTCTAAAAATATTCACTGGCTTTCTTTCTTCAGTGTGACATTATCAAATTTTGTGTTACATGCTGAGAAGGATTTCCTAGAATCTTAAAAAGGTCAGGTCTTGTTAAAAATATTAAAAAAGATGTTAAAAGAAATAAAAAAAAAAAAAGCCTAAAGCAGAAGCTTATCAATTAGCCCTAAAACATTCCTTATATGAAGATTCCAAATTTTATAAAAATTATTTGAGAGAGGAAAAAAAGTTAATATCCATATTCAAAGAATGAAATTGACAGAGGCAAAGGGTTAGGCAAAGATGGATATATATATATATATATAAGAATAAAAGTTGTTGTTGTTGTGGGTGAAGGAAGAGGGCTGGCCTGGTATAACCGTCACCATAGCCAATCAAATTAGGATGATCATTATGATATTGATTTGGGTGAGGGAAGGGAGCAGCAGCAAGACTAACAACAACAACACTGCAAGCAATCAGTCATTCTGTCACATCTAGAGAAATGTGGTTGAAGGAGTCAGTGAGGTGGTGAGTGTTGAGGAGAGTGGATAACAGGGGAGAGAACCCACGGGCCAGAGCAAGTGTACCTCCTGCTCCCAGCTGATCCTCTCCACATTCAACTCCTGCAAAGGTCAGACGGAAGAAAAGCCTTGTCAAAAAAATACTTGTAACATTTTTTTTTTCTTTGAAATAACAATAGATAGTAAAAGGACAGTTGGACCAGGACAAGAAATAATGTTTATATTTACAAACAAGTATTAATATAATGTAGCAATAATCTCCCTCTAACATAGCTGGATTTGCTTACAAGTAAGCAGGTAGAAAAACTCTTTAATACAAAGAATCCTAAGTGAGCAGATCCTAAACATGACTTGAAAGACATTAGTGACAGATAAACACATATGTACCCCAGAGAGACGGGTGAACACTTATAAACAAGCTGCAGCATTTTGCCATTAGGAAAAAAAAAAAAAAAAAAAATTTAAATAAAGTGTTTCAAAGGTCACAAAACAGAACAAATGAACAAAAAGTGGACAACGACCACAAAGAAATATAAAATTTGAATGCAAATTTAAAATAAATCTTATTAACTTTCACAAATATTCTGACCATCGTTGTCAATTTCAAGTCTTTTTTTATAAGAACTGCTGACAAGTATTTTAACTAGAAACAAATCTCTACTAATTACTTGTAGAGTTAGTTCCCATTAAAAAAAAAAAAAAAAAATCATCTCTAATAATGAGTAGGATAATATAAAAATTAACAATCCAGCTGATAAAACCAATTAAAGAATGATATCTCATTTAAAAAATATCCAATGACATCAAAAATACAATAAAGGTATGTGAAATTTCCTGCTTAATTTTGAACTACCATAATACTACCGGAATCTGAACTGCTTTCCAGTGACAATTTTGTCTTTATTAATATTATGACAATAGACCTTCAAGTGATACTTGGCTATCTCAAGGGCTTGTGTCATTTACAACTCCAAATAGCAATGACTATTGGAAAACAAATAGTATAACAGTAAATGAAATTCAACAATTAACTGAAACATTTTTCCATGGTTCCAATAAAAGTACTGTGCATAGCAAATTCCAATGAAAGTCATTTGTTTTGCATTGCTTTCCAATCATTACTTTTTTTTTTAGGCCTGTATCTTAAAATGTTAGGAAAATTATGCTAATTGTACAAATATTATTACAATGATTACATTTTAGTCAGTAGAATAATTTATAACATCTATATTTCAGAAAAACAAGTATTTTCAGTTTTAAAAATTGACAACTAACTGAAACGGAATAAGAAGTCATTGCTTCTAATTATTTTTATTTTTATATGCAAATATGTCATTGAATTATAGAGCAGCTGTGTTTTCAAAGACTTTTACAGTGGATCCCTTTCTGGAAAATGAACAAGCCCACAACAAATACTAGTAAAAAAAAAAATAAAAAATAAAAATCATTCAATATCTTAGATTGATAAACATTACAAAGATATAGAAAGTAACTGGAAAGCAGAAAAACATTTATTTGTGCAAATGCTATTTCATAGTTTCAAGGTCACATGATCTAGATAAAGAGTCAGTCAAAAGACTCTTACTGCTTTGGAATGGATGTAGAAGAAACACAAGTAATCATCTTGATATTCCCAACTGCAAAACTTACCATTTTGGAATATAATGTTTGAATAAAGAAATAGATTAGGATGCCACCTTGCAATATGGCAAAATGCATTTGTCATTTCAAAGAAAACAGCTTATATCTGCTGACTAGAAAATTATCCATAAAGAATTGAATTACCTTTGAAGAATATTAAATATTCAAGACTTCACATTTTAAAAACAAATTTTTAGGAATCCAAGCAGTAAAACATTTTTTTGTGACCAAGATTATGAAATAGATACACAGCTTTAAATAGAAAAAAGAAACCGTTAATTTGATAGTGCAACTGTGACAAAATACTGACAGAGTGAGAGCGCATCAAACATGACCAAAAGTATATTTTGTTTGAATTAGTTTAAGTGACAGGCAGACCTACCTGAATATTGGAAGGATCTCTGTATGATTCATCACTGGCAATCTGGATCTTCTCTTGTAACCAGTTCTCCATCTCGTCAGCGTCCCGAGAGAATTGTTGAAGAGACTGTGCTTCACCTAACTTGGATCGATTTTCAATTAGAGCCTCTTTTAACTTGGTCCATCTAACAAAAATACAAAGTTAATATTAATAAAGAGAAATGAAAAACCATTGCAAAATTACAATTCAAACAAGGCATTGTCTTTTTGGAAATTGAACTTTTGCAGAAATTAATTAAGATACAGTGCACTTAGTTAAACAATTGTGCGTGGAAAGACAAAGTTGAGAACTGAAAATTGTCCATGTATAAACAGTATTTCTATTGAAAATCAATTCAGCCCCTAAAAATTTATGAGAAAATTATTAGAAGAGAACTGAATGATTTTTGAATAATAAACAGAATTTTAAATTATTAACAGGAAAATCATTTTCACATTAATAAACCTCATCTTTTAGGTTCAGAGATACATTTGACAAACAAGGGAATTTACAAACAAGTTCAATTATGTTACTCTATTTTACGACAACATTTTACAGAGAAAATGACAGCCAAGGGAATTTATCCAGTAATTCATTTGTAAATTCTTTTCAATATATTTCCGCTCCACAGATATATACAGAATGTTTCTACATATCTATGTAAGCATGTATGAGGGAGAAATGTAAGTGATACAACAATCTTTAAAATTTTATGAAATTAGAGTCTTAACAATGAGATAAGCATTTATATTAGACTATTTTTCAACATATTTATAATCAACTTTTGTTACCATATCTGGAATCCTGATATGGCAACAAAAGATTCCAAGTACCATATATACTCATGTAATGTGCAATGTTTATTTTAAATACAGCTGTACTTTTTAACTACAGTAAATGTTCGTATAGTTTTGTGAACAGCATAGACGGGGCCATTTAATCTCGTGTATGACATGACTCTCTTAAAATTAGCTTCAAAATTAAATCTTCAAAAGTCGATTTATGTACGGTAATCTCATTCTTCCCATAAAGGGCACTAATTTCCAGGAATATGCAAGTAGCTTTACTATCTAATATTAAAATTATGTAAGACTAGCCGCTAATTCAGGCATGGATAGTTTGCATAAAAGCCCTATACCTGTCCAGAACCTGATCTCTCTTGTCAGTAATGGCATCACTGTCATAATGTTGGGCAGAAATGAGCTGCTGGGAAAAGGCTTCAAGAGCTTGAATTTTTTCTTGCTGAAAAACAAAGAGAAAATAATCTTTTCCTTCTGAAATGTTTTTTTTTTTTTTTTGGCAAGATCTTTAAGAAAATAAAATATAATCCATAGTTTATCATAAGCTTACTTAATAAAAAGTTGGATATTTAGTTCATTTCAGTGATTAACTGAGTGGAAAAGTCAAAATAAAAAGGTACAAAGATGCTATCTTGATGGGAAGATACTTAAATTAGAAAAGGATAATGGGTTAAAGTTAAGCTTTGATAATAACAGTAACAGGCTGAAAGTGAAAATTGCTGTAGTGTGCAAACAAACAGCTGATAAAAGAAGAAATCCTCATTTTGTAATAGGCAATCTAGAAAAACAATTAGAAGCCATCACAAAAGCAAAAGGTCTTTGAAAAAAGACAGATTCCTATTCAGAGCAAATTTCTGAAGAGAGAAAAATAAAAGGAGGCAAAAAGATGAAATTCCATTTTGCAGGTATTTTTAAAGAAACTCTACAACTTAAGAGAAAAAATATCCAAAATGTAAATAACTCCAAGACATGCCTTCAATAACATTTATTGCTATTTGCTATTCAATATAAACAGTTGCTGTAACCTATTAAATATCTTCAATCCCAGATATTCATAATGGCTTTCTCACCTTTGCTGATAGTTTTTCATTTTTAAGCACACATAACTTGTTAGGAGTATAGGTTCTAACTTCATATAGCTTATTCCTGTCCAAAAATAAGCTACATATCAATTTCAAGAAGGGATATTTAAATTTTCTTTATACAGTAATCAGTTCTAAATATTGGCTTATAGAAGAAGCTTCATTTACATACTTGTCATTAATTTTAATCATGTGATATTTTTGGAGGGGGGGGTATTAAAAGCATTCTGATCTCAAAATATGGTTGTATATTATATAAAAATCAGGTCTTAGATTTTAGCAATATAAACAAATAAAATTAAAATATCCATTTTAGCTAAATAATGGATCTAAGAGAGAAAAGTTAAATTTCATACTAAATCCAATTTTGATCTTAAGCTTTTGTTTTTTTTGTTTTTTTACTGTTAATGTAATACTTTATTATAAACTCTCCACAAACAGTACAAATTTTTGATTGATCTTCTCATCAGCTTATTGTTGTTTTTAAGTTGAATGCACACATAACATTGAAATAATAAAGTTGCCATAAGAAGCAACAATAAGATGGAAAATAAGATTAACCAGAAATTAATAATGAAAGTGCTTCATCTCAGAATCAAATTCAAATGTGACTTGCTTGCAACAGAATAGAAATAAAGCCGAAAGCATGTAATAATCACCTGAGAGTTAATGGCCCTGTCAAAATCTTCATGTTTCTTGATGAGAGACTCCACATTATCACCATCAACAGTGTCCCCAGCCAAGAAAGCTTCGCGAGATGCCATCCATGCTTCAGCTTGTTCACAATCACGATAGAACAGCTGGAGTTCAAGGCATTGGTCGAGCTTCATGCGGCGGGTAATCCAAGCCCTGAAGTGAAAAGTTATTTTTAAACTCAAGACATTGCATACAAAATAGTCTTAAGTTTATCAATGAGAAAGGAAGAAAACTAAGAAATAATTTATACTTATTTAGATAAGAGAAACCAATGTAAAAATACAAATTTTTAAGAAAGTTTAATTTACAACAACTGTTGTACTATTTAGACAAACTCCTTCAAGAAATCAACAAGTGTGACAAATGTATCCATTATAATTTCAATGCAATGAAAATAGAATACATGCACACTATGAGTATAGAATGATCAAACTAAACATGAGAATTATCAGATGATTCTAATCAACAGTAGTTGACTACATTTTTCTTTTAACATGGCATATAAAAGACAATTTTTATGGTTAAATAAAATTAAGCAAAGGACAAAATATTAAAATCTCACAAAGAATGAATTGAAACTAGACTAAACTTACTGTTCCAATTCTTGTCGGGATTTAGCAAGATCTTCAAGTTTCTGCTGTACTTCAGTGCTAGCATAATGTTGGTTCTGCAACAGTTGTTGACCAAGCATTTCAAATGCTTGGAATGTGCCAGCCCTGGCATCGATTTCAGTGCGATGTTCCTGAGAAAGTCAAAAGGAGATGCAAAATGTGAAATACACCAGAAAGCACAGATCAATTCAAACAAATAATCACCTGGTCTACAGAAAGTGAAATATTTTGCAGCAACTTGATATCATTAGATGAAATATGAAAATAATGAACATATTTGTGAGTTACATGTATCGAGAAAAAAAAAAAAAAATATCAGCTGCATTTTATATTGCGGTTTTGTTAATTCGAATCTGAAATACTACCAACATAGAATGACAAATATAAAACAAAAAAGCCAGGGAAATAACTGAATAATGTTTATAAAAATACTTCAGCTTTGCTGATGACTTTTTTTTTCATTTACAATAATTTCTATTGTTAAATTTTGTTTTTCCGAGATCTAGAATGATGCTTGTGTCAAATATTGTACAGTTTTACTTATTTCAGCATCATTGCTTTTGAGATTGAATCATATCATTTAAGCCAGTGATTTGAAAGTAAGTGTTTTTACACGTCACTTTTTCTCCTCACTCACAATCACATCTAGTATTATCATATGTGAATTTAACACAAATTTAACACTATTACACAAAAATATCCAGTTGCTATGAAATAATTATATTTCTATACTTACTATATCACATCTTACATTCCAAAATAAAATATACCAATGAAAACGGTTGACTGTCATTGTTGAAATATGGCCCAAAAACCTAATACTTTTTTTGTTGTTTTTTGCTAATTTCCTTTCACCATTTTATATACCATTTTCTTTGCCGACAAGCTAGTATGTGTATTTGTGTGAATTTAGATAATAGGAATCTGACATACAAAGCCATTTAATGAGTTAAGAAAATGATAAAAGAGAAAAAATAGTAAACAAAAAGTTAATGTCACTATTAGCAAAACAAAATGCATTTCTGTTTAATAATTTTTCAACATATTGTAAATAGTTGATCCTAGAGTAAAGCAGCTGAAAGATTAAAATCTGCTGTCCTCCAAACAAAATGAGTTTACAACAAGGAAAATAGACACTCAACAAAAATGGGAAAAAGAAAAGAAATCTACTTAATGCTGAAAATGATAATTACAATTAAAAAAAATCATCTATAGTTTAAAAATATCAATTACACAACTTTTTCAACATTTAATATTTTAGTTATTACATTTTTGTAATTTAGTTTTTAATATTTCTGTATTTATTGCCACTTTGTTAAATAGTCAAAAGAATAAAAAAAGGTAGAAATTAATATTTTCTATTTATATTATAAAAACTGTTGACAGACATTTTAACTATTTTTTAGATTCAGGCTTATATAAATATATTTACAAAGAGAAGGTAAAATAAGTAGAAAAGCAAAAATGAAATTAACTAGAAAAAAAAATTTGAACACATTCAGGACCGATAGAGAAATAAAAGGGAATACCAACAAAAAAAAAAAAAAAAGCATGCATTAAAATAAATATTTTAAGAATTTAAAAGAAGCATTTGCAATTGGTATTTAAAATTGAAAAATAGATTTTATATCAAGCAAGAAAATCTTTTAAAGATTTAAGAGAAAGTAATTTTAAAAATTTGCTAACTACTGCTAGTTTATCCTAATAAAAAAATAAATAAATTTACATATCTCCCACAAAGTTACTTATTGTTGAGATAAAAAAAAAATCCTCAAATTTTGTAAAAATTATTATTGAAATCACAACCAAGTGGAGAACTGGAAAGCATCATGCATGACCACCAAACAGGATGGGAAAAACTTGCAGACACAGAACTGAAGGAAACGGATTTGAAAACAAAAACCAAACCAAGAAGACATTGGTTATTGTTGCCAACTAGCTACTAAAACGTTCCCAGGCAGGTGGAAAGGCAAGACAAAACACAACACAAGGCTTTCAGTAGAAAAATAAAAAAGTTAAAAAAATTAAATTTAAAAAAAAAAAATAAAACCAGCAAGAGGTGGTAGTGGAGATTAGAAGGGGAGACAATTTGCTAATTGACTGACGCACAAGGCAATAAAATTCAAAAAAAGTTGTAAGTAGATGAATCAAACTACCAACAAAGAAAACAAGCAGACAAATGATTTTTAAATATTTTCACTTAAGCAATACAATATAAATGCTCTTTGGGGTTTTTTTTTTTTTTTTTATTCTGTTGCACAGATTAGTAATTAAAAAAAATAATGGTCAGTTGCTAAACAGTTTAACCAGAGTGCATCATTAACTATATCATAAGATGACATATGTAAAATTACTGACAAAACCTGAGAATTCCTATAAAATTAATTCCTACAATGAAGAAAAATTATAGAATTTGAAATTTTTAAATTTGAACTGAAATCAAGATAAAATTATATCACTCTGACCTCAAAGAGTTTTAAGAAATATGAAAATAAGAAAACTCATATTTGCTCTTATCAAATTGATACTTGATAAGACAAACCAAATCCAAACACATTTCAGGCATGTCTATTTACAAAAGGCTATTAAAGGTGGGGGGGAAAAAAAAAAAACACATACACACGATTTCAAACAACCAACACTGGTTCTGTTACAACCTATCACGAAATTATAGTATTTCCTTACAAAAAGTTGATTAGCTCTAAATGTTTTAATTCAAAACAAAAAGCCTGAACAGAAATAAAATTCAGTATTCACTATAAAAGAATTGGACAAATTACTAGAAATTGATTGAATCTGGTTAATTAACATTGGCAAGAAATTTAAGAGAACAATTGGATGATCAAATATGATTGCCTACCTATACAGAACACAAAGCAGGCTTTAACAAATGGCAAGACAAGCCTGCCAGAAACTACAAAGCAATTCCATGCAATCCATCTGTAAATTAGCAGTGACTCCTTGTTGCTTATAGCAACATCAGTCACTATTTATGAAGAACATAATAAAAAAAAAACAAAAAAAAACAAAAACACTTGAAATGTCAACAAAATATTAAAAATCTAGGTAACAAACATTATATATATATATATATATATATATATATATATATATATATATATATACTCTATCTCTTTGTACAGACAACACTGACAATGTAGCTTTGAAAGTATATACAATGAAAGAAACAACTGTTTATTTATAATAATCAAAAAAAAAAAAAAACCAGACATAAAAATTTGTAGGCAAATTGATTGGATCAAATTCAAAGAATTAACAAGAACCTAATTAACAGAGAGCAGAAAAGAATTTTAGATAGAATTTGACTTTTGGTGGTCATCAAATTTGGGTTTAGTTGCATCTTTTGGTTGAAAAACTATTTATAATTGAAAAAAAAAAAAAAAAAAAAAAAATATATTCTCACGACAGATTTTTTTAATGCAAACTGCATTTATCTCCCTTGGTAAATTAAACAACCCAGATCTGAGAAAATCTAAACTAAATGCAATAAAATTTTAGGATATAAATTGAAAATTTTTGTTTTGTTTTTTCTATTTTGATTGAATATTTTATTGCTTATTAGAAACTTATAGAATACATTGACGGGTCCTTATATGAACAACAGTAATGGCTAATATTTAAAAAAATAGAGATATTCAAAGTATCCACAACATGTGTGAAGAATATAAGATTTAATATCAACCCAAGTTATACACTCTGCAAATTGTCATGCTTTTCTTTTTAAAGAAAAATCTGTCCAAAAAAAAAAAAAAAAAAAATTTTTAAGTGTTAATTGAAAATTGACTGTCTAGGATAGGGGAAAAAAATTCAGATTAGAAGGGGCAATTAGGTTAGCAGTTTCATGACATTTGGTTATTTTCAAGAAGAAAAAAAAACAAAAACAAAACATTTGCCTAATCAGGCAACAACAATGGACTGGGACAATTTAAAGAAGTCACCTGTCTAGCTACACTTGTAATGGAATAAGTGAAGAAGGCAAGTGAGTTCTCTTCAATCTTACAGCAAATATTTCTAATACTCACACTGTGTGAATCTGAAGAAACAGAATGGGGGTGGGTAGTGAATCAGAAAAAACTTTTATATAACAAAAATAAAATAAAAAAATTTAAATTGGTTCTACTAGAAATATTGCCATATAGAAGGGGATTGTCTTGGTATATTTCATACAAAACTTTGATGTTACTTAAATGAGTATGAAATAACTTCCAGCAACATTTTAATACATTTAATAAAGCAGGTAAATTGCCATTTTTAACACTTAAAATTCTTCAACAATGTGCACATGAATTGAATATAAATTAATGATGACCCTATGAAAAGTCGAATGTGTATATAGAATAACTATCTTTATCTTGCTTTGGCAATTTCTCTTTACCATTGATGGTTGTAAGTAGGAAATAATGATGAATAAAGAAACAAATATGGAATTTTCAGGCAAATCAGTTCAATTTCTAAATCAAGTCAATTCCAACTAGAATCAAATTTGGAAATTAATCCTATCTAAGAGATTATTTAGGATTTAAAATAATCCTCATTGTTTACATCTAGTCAAAGACAAAAATTCTATGAAATCCTCTGAAATGTGTTATTCACCAAATGCAGTAATTAAAAATGATCAACTTAAATGAAATGCCTTATTTTAATAGAAAAGAAAAAACTTTGGAACTTTAAGAGTGCAAAAATATCAAAGTTTAACAATGGGAACTCAAAGTAAAATAGAAAACATTCTTCTGAGAAAGTGAAAAAAAAAAAAAAAAAAAAAAAAAAAAAGAATTTTAATCTGATAAAGATATGACAATTTTGTTTTTCTAAAAAAGATTCACACATGGATTGAGGAATAGAAATATTTGCTGAAGCAGTCCTCTTTGAATAAAAAAAAAAAAACAATGTGCCTGTTATTGTCACAGCAGGCAGACCTAAGGCTAGAATCATAAGTGAATGTCATTCCAATACACACGCACACGCACACAGGGCAAGCTCAAGTCTACCTCATCCTCCTCCTCCTCTTCCTCTTCAGGGTACTGCGAGATTCCATAATGGCTCACAATTTCAGAACTGAACATCTGCAAGATGGTGATATGTCGTAATCATTGGCACCAAAGTACAAGACAAAAAGGAATAACCAATAATTGCCGGTTGGATTAGTAGAGGATTGGCCACATGGTTAGAAAGAGATAAGGGGAAAGGTAGGATCGGATCCAGGGGGCAGGGGATAATTTTTAGAAGAGGAATATTGCCTATTATTACAGACAGAATTTATAAATTGAAACTATTTTTAAATTAGGCATGCATTATTGTCTTAATTCTTCCTGTTTATAATAATCCAAGGTAGGTATACAGGAATTGGGTAAGAGCCCAATTTTCATAATGGTAATTTAATATTTATACAGGTTGAGTTATTTATACCAAATTTAAAATTAATAATTTGTAATACTAAAATTTTAATGTGAAATATTTAAAAATAACATCGGTGAAACTGTGCCACTTGCTAAGGAAAAGGGGAAATAAAAATTGCCACCTCATAGTAACAGGTGATAAAATATTTTAAGGTGGCCACTCAACATATAACCAGAGGAAAACAACATTGTGGTGACTTTCAGGTGTCTTTGTTCAGTGGAAATTGTGACTGGCCATTTTAGCAGCACTAGACTTTTTTTCTTTTTTAAATATTTGTCACTTTGAATTTTGTTTTTATAAAGTTTTTTTTTTTTTTTTTTTTTAAATACTGAACCAACTTTGCTACAAGCCATATCAACTTAAGATATTGTTTGATTTAAAATGGATACCAAAGTTCAACAGCTCTAATACAAAAGTGGCTGAATATATGGAAAAGGTTAAACTGGTATGTAATCTGAAGAAAATTGAAAGAAACTCATTCCACTGTCTGATAGAGCATTTGCCATATATCAACAGTTAAGTACATCAAAGATATTACAGTGACAAAGAGCATTTAATACAGCATTTGTAGTCAATACATTTGTAGCATCAGAAAAATTCATAGTGAGGTGGCTACACCTAGATGAATCTGTAGGTATATTTTTGGCAGAATTACAGATTGTCAGTGTTTTTTTTTGACAGAGGTTTTGACCACAGGTTAGCCCATGCCTTTATGGCTGATTCACTGGAACATGTGAAATAGTTTCTTCACACCTCTTTATGTATGGATTCTCTGAATGTTGACCAACCATTTAGCTGAGCCAAGGCAATACTGAAGGATGAAGCAGGATCTAGGTGCAGCAGCTATACAACCGATATACAAAATAGTGGAACCAATAGCAACAGAAGACCAAAAACCTTGTTCAGCTTGATTAGAAAACAGAATGAGAAAAGACATCAGCCCAAAATTCCTCCCCAGGCAACATGATGAACAGTGTGCAGGGCTTTTGTAGCTTCTGAATGTTCCTGCTCAACTGTAAATCAGCTTATCAGCTTTGCAGAGGAAAAAATATGAATGTGCTGAGTGTTTATGGGAAAACTCATAATTGCTGTGGAGTTGGAAGTTTAAAGTTGAAATTTCAATAGTAAGAAGTAAGCCATTACAATTTGAACTCCTTCTTGCAATTAATACCATTAGCATGTTGGACAATATCCAGATCAATCAACTAGGTACATTATGTTCTATTAAGAGGTACCTGTATATGTAGCTATTTGAATTGACATACCAAGTTCAGCATAAGTTTTGGCAATAAGTAAAATTTGGGTTTGAAGCAGAGAAATGGTTGGATAATTGAGAGCCTGGAAAGGTAAAGAATAAAATTCTGGAGCACTATGTCCACACAAGTTATGTAAGAATATGAACAAGAGATTCATATAGGGATTGACAAGGACTGGTTACTACTTCTTCACTCAGTAGTTTTGACAATTTTTTTGACAATATAACAGTACAGGATTTTTGTGCTTCTATAAAAGATTTTTTTAGTAAAAAGTTTTTTCTTAAGTGCTCCAACTTTTTGCCCAAGAGGAAAAAAAAAAAAAAGAAAAAAAAATTATACATAGGATCTGATTTTAAGTGTAATTTAAATTGATATTTTCATAAAATATGAAGTAAAACTTAAATTTCAGAATTGCAAAGGGATGAAAAAGATCAGAATCAATATATTGCTATAACATACAATAAGTTAATACTTAAAAAATAAGTTTACATATGTCTTTAGCATCTTAATTAAGAAATAAATTAAAAAATAAAAATTGCAAAATAAAAAATTCCAAGTGGATTTTTTCTCTCTCAAAAGATTATCTTGAAACAAATTCTAGAGAATGAACTAAAATGATTAGGTCATTATTATTACTATTATTGTTATTATTAAGAGAAGCTTATTCCTTTATTAAATGATATGTTAAATCAATATTTTGGGGACAAGATTTGCAAATGAATTTATTTAGATATCTTTATGTATAAATTAAGTTTACATTTTTGGTACACATAAGAATATTTTGATTCAATTTTACTCTATTTTAATTGTGTATTTAATATTTCGAAAAAATATTTCATTTATTCAAGGAGCTGAAAGCAAATGAGGAGGGCAGGAAAGGAATAACGGAGGAAGTTCATCAGATGCTCAATGATGAAAGCTACAAAAAAGATTTTTCTTCTTCAATGGAATATATACCTTATTTATTATTTAACTACAGATCTTCAATCAACATTGAAAACCTGTTTAAAAGACTTCCACAAGCAGTGATTTTTTTTAATACAAATACCTTACAACACATAATATGAAACAAAGTTCGCCGACAGAATGACAAATTTTCAACATTAAAAATTAAGTAGGATTTGATATTACAACAGGTACATATATAAAAATATTCTACAAACCTGATGTCTCTCAAGCAGGGCCTCGGCACCAGTAACATCTTTAGCCAGCTCATCTGAAGACACAAGTGCCATCATGCTGTTGATCCAAGAGGTGAGGTCTCTGCAAAATGTGGGTAAAAATATACAAATTTAACAATAAAGATAAATACATTTTAACACAAAATACTGTAATCTTACTTATTCAAGATACAAGATTTTATTTTCTGCAGCCTTAGAAAGATTTGTTAAAAAATAAAGTGCTAAAATAAACAGATTGCCTATACAAGAATCACAAAAGTAGACATCCTTGCCTTATTTATTCAATTATCCCTTTGAGCAAACTCCCACATCCAACTCTCTCTCACTCACAATGACATTTTTTTTTTTTAATTCATTTTCAGTAGATGGATTCAGTTTGATAAATATTAAGTTTATTTAAATAAATTTTTCAATAAAAATTTCTTGACTTTTGGTTTATTCCATAAATTTATATTCTGCTGCAGTTTCAATAATTGAATTCATTTATTGCATTGTATCTCTTATGGATTTATGAAGAGCAAAGAATATTGACTGAAATGCAATGGACTTTGGAATTACTTCAAAATATAAAGTATATATTGTTAAGAAAAAATTCTATTAATTTAAGAATTTTGAAGAGAGCCAAATCAATTCTTAATTGCAACAAAGGTATTATTTAATTATAAAGATATTGAAATAAAAAGAAAAAATAGCTGACCTGTAATCACTAAGGAAACGTTGTAAGTCATAAGAGTCCAACAGTTTAGATTTTCTTGCATCAGCCTGAAAGAAAACAGAAAAGTATAAGAAAAGAAAAAACAGAATACAACTAAAAAAGTTAATGTTTAAAATATCTAATTCCCTTAAAATTAGAGACTATCCCAAGAATACTTTAGTTTTATCTAAAACTTGATTCAACAACTGAAGAAATTGCTATTAAGAACTTATTGTTATTCAGGATAGTCAAAATAATTACAGTAATGTTTCAGAATATTTTTTTTTTTTAAATCATTAAAATTCGATGTATGAGGGTCATTAATTTGCTAAAACATCTAGTGAAATTTCATGAGAACAGGTTGAAAATATGTTCAATTATTTATTAGGAAATGAAGGTCATTTCAAAAAGTAAAACAAAGAATGACAAAGATAACATATTTACCTTTGTTGTTAACTCATTCCACATCTCATTGATTTCTGTTTGATGTTCATAAATGCTTTCAGCTTGATCAGCATGGGTCTCCATCAATCGTTTGGCTGATGAATCAAGGTCTCTTACCTAACAACACATACAACAATATCCTCAAGTAATTTTTAATAACAAAAAAAGAAAAATCAACATTACTTACAAAATCATTATTTACAACTATTTACTTAACTGTTTTTGTTTAATTCTGGCATTCTCACATTTGCTGGAACCAATTTCAAGTTACTCAAGTTTAAACAATCAAACCCGAATTTTTATATGTATTTTTTTTTTTTAAAAAGACATTTCAATATACAATCAAATAAACAAAATACAATCTCAAAATTCTGGGGGCTGTTCTAATAAAAGAATCAGACAACTTTAAATAAGATATTATTCTCCATATATTGAAGTGTGTTTAAAAATAAAACTAAATAAATATACAAATAATTCACAAGTTTGAAAACTTTAAAATTGATATTTAACCAAACATATTTGAAAGAATTATTGTTGCCGAAATGCACAGAGTGTGTATACTTAAGTTTCAGTTCTCTTGCTTTTTTTTTTTTATTCTAATTTTAAAGTACATAAAGATTTTTTTAGATTTCTGACAGCAGATAGTGTTCTCTATGAGAGTGTTGCAAGTAATCAACCCCATACTTAGAACATTTAAGCTTTTGTTGGCTATCAATGTCAGAGGTCATGAATGATTAATTAATAAAAACTTGTTTTTCCTTCTAAATTGAAAAGTTAAAACTTGAAAGACATTGGAAATATACACCAAATATGGTTTTCTTTTAAAAGTTTTCTTACTTTCTCTCCAAGAGCAGCCAGATCTCGTTCTACTCCTTCATGTTTGCGTTGGAGAGCTTGAACACTGCTCAAGTCTGTACCATAGTTGTCATTGTTCAGAGCAATGTCCTTCTCATAGATCCAGTCTTTGGTCTCGTCCACATCTCTACAAACAGAATCAATCAACAAATACCATGTATTAATATTATTTGCAACTTGCTTTACCACACAAATATTTTCAATATCTAATAATTTATTCATTACACAAGAAGTGCAACAAACTTTGATTTAAAATATTAAAATAAGCTTGAACACTACTGTTAGATGTTTATCAATTAAAATTGATATTTTTCACAGAATAGATAAGCAAATGACATCAAAAGCTTCTAAATTGAATGAATTGCCTATCTCACCTGTGGTATCTTTGCACCTGGTGAGCACTGCCAAGAGTCTGTTGCCTTTCTTGGGTGACCATCTGAAGAGTCTCCCAGCGATTGTTGAGTGTCTGAAATTCAAATTATTTTGAAGATAATTTTATATTCCCACTTATTTATAAATATATAAAAACCTAAGTCTATAAGCTGTATCATTAAACAAAGTTTTGTCCAATAAGATATTTGCTAAGAAATTTGGGCTTAAAAAAAGACAAAAAATATTCAATGATGCTAAACTGAATTAACTTTATATACTCAACTCTCCTGTTGAATTCAATGTATGAGGGTCAAGTAGATCAGTGCCTAGGAACCAACAGCCTGACACCAGCACATGAAATTTGATTATAGTGGTAAAGGTTTTGTGCAGAACCATCCACACTTTTTGAAGGGCCAAATACAGAGACATGGTGCACTACATGCCACAAGGTCCCCAAACGACCCTCCACAGGTTTTCAATTAAAGGTTGTCCTTCTAGACCATTTGCCATCCAAGGCTATAGAACCCAGTCTGTCCTGCTATTTACCCATAGCTGAAGGGAGAAGAGGATTCATACCTTTCCCAAGAGTATTAGCACATAAATGATTGTAATGGATTCTACTGGAATTCAAACTCTGCTCTCCAAATTTATATATATATATATATATATATATATATATATATATATATATTATTAAAAACAAAAAAAATGGAATGGAAGTACTTGTTATATGCTTTTATTGGAAATATAAGTTGCAATAATTTTCAATAATAAATCTTTAAAGCAATCAAAATTTTAGAGTTGCTTTCTAAATAAGCAAAAGGACAATACAATAAAAAAGTGAAAATTACAAGAATTTAATATATTTTATGCTCAATAGATAACTATAATATTCAGTGAATTAAGAGGAAATTGAAATTTTGTCAATTCAATGAATACTCAAAAGGATAAATTTACAGTATTTTTTGCAGTATTTCCAACTGATCTCAAGGATATTTGAAAATAAATCAAGATCTGTCAAACATGTTTTAACCTAAAAGCACTGAATTTAATTCAATTATTGTTCAGCAATTTTTATCCACTTAAAAAAATACACTAGAAAACATTTTTGTACATACACTTTTTGAAAACTTTCAGTGACTGCCTCAATTAAAAATTTTATTCTTTTTTTCAAATCCTCTGTAGGAAAAAGTTAACTTTTTGACAGCAGTCAGAGTGAAGAGACACACAGCAAACATTGAACTTGTAAGACTAGTTCAACAATCAACTGAACTACAATGATAGTACCAATTTTGTTTTGTTTTTTTTTGTTTTTTTATGACATAACTTTCATGCAAAGGAGTTTTAGAGATCTAGTTTTTTTTGCAGATACAAAATATTCTAAGTTGCTTGTTATAAGGAATTAAGCATGTTATAACACTAAAGATTAATGGCATTCCTGTAAATAGTCATTTTTTTTATTTACAAATAACTCATCCTATGGAAAAAGAAAGCAGAAAAAATTACTTACAGCAATCTGTTCCCTGATTTTTTCAGCAGCTTCGGTTTGTCCCATAGCTGTGAGTCTATCGGCAATAGAATTCAACTCTTGCAAACGGACTTCATTGGCTTTGAGATCCTAAAAATATAAAGATTTTAAAATGTTCTTCTATACAAATAAAGTTGTTTTTTTAACCAAAATATTCCAGAAATGTATAATTTTCATTAAATAAGAAAAGGGAGAGAAAAGTAATGTTTTTTTTATTCCTCTAGTTAAAATTTTTTTCTCTAACAGTTTCAGCTTTTAATATTAGATTTTTGTTTGCTTTTAAAAAAAAAGGGCATACTTTTTTAATCTCAGTAATACAAGATCAATAAAAAGCACAGTATATTTATTTTATGTTTTCAATAACTTAATTCTCGTCTGTGCAATTTGATTGATAGAATTTGATTGATAGAATTTGATTGATAGAATTTGATTGATAGAATTTGATTGATAGAATTTGATTGATAGAATTTGATTGATAGAATTTGATTGATAGAATTTGATTGATAGAATTTGATTGATAGAATTTGATTGATAGAATTTGATTGATAGAATTTGATTGATAGAATTTGATTGATAGAATTTGATTGATAGAATTTGATTGATAGAATTTGATTTGATAGAATTTGATTGATAGAATTTGATTGATAGAATTTGATTGATAGAATTTGATTGATAGAATTTGATTGATAGAATTTGATTGATAGAATTTGATTGATAGAATTTCAGTTTTAGACATTTTTTTTCCTTTGAAATTTACCTTCTGGAAGTCATCAAATTTCTTCTGCATTTCTTCAACTTGTTCAAGATCTTCTCCAACATCTTGAGCGACAACTACAGTCTCTTTTTCAGTGATCCAGGAGGCCAGCTCTGCCGCTTCACGCACCAGTTGGTAAGCACGGCACGATTCTTGTAACTTCTCACGGCGCTGGTTGGCAAGGTCAATTAAGTTGGCATACCTGAAGTATTATCAGGAGAAATGAAAATTTTCTTAACTCCTATCCCATTAGCTTATGTTGAGAAAGAATCAAATCATTACTATACAAAATGCTTAAGTCAAATCAGTATGGAAATAGTTTATCTAACTTTCAAAAGTATTGTTGATAATGAATGCCAAATTTCAAAACTTTTTTTTCATCAAATCATTTTCAAAATATTTATTGTATTTATTAATGGATGCAAGTTAATTATTTGCTTATATTATTTGAACTTAAATCCACTTGGGGAAGGGAATTATTTGCATCATAACAAAAAATTCAGCAAAATGTCAACAAAAGGAATCTGCTTTCTCTTGTGCATTTTCTTTAAAATGGACATTTCATGAAAGTCATTATCTAAAACAAGTTAGAAACACTGATAAGATTTATAAAGAGTCAATATATACAAAAAGTAAAAAATTTTTAATAAGTAACTGGTAAAAGACATTGCTAATTTTACTGCTATATTTGTAAACACTTCATATTTTTAATAGATTAAAACTATTTTAAAATATATTAAAAACCCTAAAAAAAGGGTCATCTTGCAACCAAGTATCTTTTTATTGCTTCTTATAAATATTCCAAGGATACATTTTACTCAATACTGGCTAATACAACAAAACAAAGGGACAAAGTAACAAATTCGGCATCTAAGTATCAAATTTAGAAAAGACAAAAGATTTTTTAAAAAAATAAATAAATAGAATAAAGTGAGAAATTATTATGTCATTTTTTAATTTTTTTTTAACAAATTTTATACTTACTGAGTTTCAATTTGATTCTGTCGTACGGAAATGGTGAATTCATCCATAAGGTTGTTCCGGCTGGCAGAAAGACTAGGGTCAAGTTTTTTCACATAAGCAGCAGGAACAAAGCCCTGGCGGTCATTCACTTCCACTTTCCACCATTCCTAAAGAGAGATGAATGAAAGAAAACACTCAATCACAAGATCAGACAAAATTGCAAACAACCTACAAACAAGTGAATTTTCAACAGTATTTATCGAAGGTTTAGCTACTCCGGGGTGGAGAACCAATGAATAAGAAACATCAACAGAGAGTGAAAACATTGAAGAAAAATACATTGACAAACTATCTAGATTTCAGCATTATGGAATGACTCTTGCTTAACAGGGAAGGAATTGACAAGTATACTCACATATGAAAGATTTGGAATCCTTTGTGTTATACAGTTGGCAGAGATTAGAATCACCTGCGTAACATACACTGTTAAGAATTAAACTAGGCAATATGTTTGATACCTTTACTTGGAGGGGGGGAGGGAAAAAAAAAAAAGATGATATCTTTTTCTCTCAGTATCTGTCTATATTTCTGAGATAAGATTATGTACACTATTTACATTATTCGGACGATTGTCCTCATCTTTGTTGCCATGTTTATCACAACATTGTACGCTTCGGCCTTCTTCAGGTGGTTGGAATGTCGAACTGAAACCTTTATTTCGCTCACTGAGGTAGACTGTTCTAGTTCCACGTGACATGTCCTCAAGGACACATGGCACAGTGGATAAAGGCGTTAGTTAGATCCAGTGACAGGACCCAAAGAGTGTGAATTCAATACCTGGTTAAGGCAGTGGAGAACTTTCAGAGGGGAATTAACAGGAGATAACCAATATCCATTAGACATGGCATGTGGAACTAGAACAGTCTACCCCAGTGAGCAAAATAAAGGGTTCAGTTCGACATATCTTTTTCTTTCTCTTTTTTTTTTTAAAGAACATACACTTGATGGAGGCTGTAGAAAGGATAGGCCAGAACATGGTAGCAACAAAAACTTAGACACTCTAATCAACTCTGAATTAGTTAAGCATCTCACCTCACAGGGTCTTCTTTTAGATAAGCAATATGGCTTTTGCTTCTCTAGATTAACTGGTGATGTGTTAACAGTTATTGCTGAAAGTCTATCTATTGATAAAGGTTATGGTCAAGCTGTTGCTTTAGGTGTTTGATAGAGTTTGGCATGTTGGTCACCTTTACAAGTTGAAAGCTTATGGTATTTCTGGACAAATTTTTGATCGGATTCAATTTTTCTTGTCAAATCACGAAATGAAAGTTATCTTGAATGACCACACTTTTTGCATTAATGCAGGTGTCCCCACCACCAGGGCTCTACCCTTGGACCTACATTGTTTCTAATTGTTATCAATCTTCCTTATGTCATCAGTTCTCAATTTGGTATTTAAGCTCATGATAACTATTTACCCCTGTGTTAATGGTAGGTCTGATCAAATAAGGTCAAATAGGCAAATGATCTCAAAAATGACCTACAATCTGTTAACTGAAACAAGGAATGGCTTGTTAACTTTAGCACCTCCAAAATGATAGTGCTCTCTTTGAATAATCTGAAGAAAACCCCTTTTTGCCTTCAATCAGCATGGCTGATGCTAACCCCCAAGAGAATGACTCCTTTTGCCTTCTCAAGGCCAACATGAAGTGAAAAGATTATATTGAATTCATTGCTAGGTCTGCTGCTAGGAAAGTTGATTCATTGGGTCGTGCTAGACAATTTTTCTCCCAAGAATCTATCTTACACATAAAGTCTACCATCCATCCATGCCTTAAATATTGCTGCTTTTGCTATGTATTTAAAGATTCTTGATAAAATCCAAAGAATCTGCAATGTTTTTGGTCCTGACCTGGTATTTCAATTTCAGTCACTTTCCTACTGATGTAACAGTTTCCCTGTGGTTTTTCTATAAATACTTTCATGTAATTGTTTTAATGAACTTTCCTCTATGGTAACTAGACTTTATGAATTTAAGTACAGTATTAGATTGGCTGCAACAGATCATTTTACAGTTGAAATGGCTAGATGGAACCATAAGTTCTATGCTAACAGTTTCTTCTATTGCACTTTGCATTTGTAGAGCTCTTTTCTGGCTTTTTCTTTCCAGTCAACTTTGATCTTCAACAAGTGCAATGTCAATTGTTATCTTGTCATAATTCCTTTTCTTTTACTTTTCTTTCCTTAATAATGCTTTTTTCTCATATTCTTTCACACTCAGTAACCTCCTTGTGTCTTAGTGGCATTATTGCCTTACTTGGGGTGAAATGATTAGAAAACACAATAGAAGTTTTATTTTTCTTCAAAAAATGCAGATTAATCTAACAAAATCTGTTATTTTTTTTCCTCCAAAAGGCAAATTACATCTTTATTTTTATTTGTTATTTTATATTACAATCTATATTTAGGTTAACTGACTATTTAAATATAAAGATTTTTGCAGAAACAATTTTCCTGTCAGTAGCATTCATTTTTTTAAATAGTGTTTTGTACTGCGTGTCCTGTAAGAGTTATATTTCTACATACAAAGTTTCAGATTAAATTACCTTGTTGGCACTGTTAAGCAACACAAGGACATCCCCTTTTTTCATAGAAACTTCACGTGGGGATTTTTCAGTATAGTCATAGAGAGCCATCACTTTCTCACTACCAAGGTCATCAATAACTGGAGCTTCTTGTTGCTGAAAGTAAAAAAAAAAAAAAAAAAAAATTATATTTGTCTCTTTAAAGTTTCATTCTTTTTTGCCATTAGTTTTTCTTTCTCATTCTCACCAAGCTAAGGAATCTTTTTCTCTCTTACAAGAAATTTATTTCTGCTAAAGCCCTATCAAAAACTTAATTCTTTAAGAGTAACCTAAATTTTTAAAAAAATAAAAAAATAATACACTTAAAAACTAATTTTTCTCCCTCCATTAAATGGCTGCTTAACAATCACAATTAGGGGGGGGGGTGCTGAAATTATATATATATATATATATACACACACACACACAAATAGAAAAGATGTTGGGTTTTGGTTGATTGATTTTAAAACATGCCAACCCTTGGATTATTTAATGTCAGTATTTTTTTTTCTAGTGAGAAATATACAAAAGAACCCTATTTCTTGTTACATGGAATTGCTTCTTGGTCTTTTGGTTTTGAGACTGAAATTAACTAAGTCCAGGTCCATGTCCACAGGTAGAAACTATCCTATCAAAAGGAGGAGAAATGGTGTTAATCTCAAGAGAGAAATGCCAAGAGAGATGGACTATTTTGGACCTCTGGTTTCATGTACAAGTGGGACTAACTTTAAACTCAGCCTTGTACAATATTTAAATGGATCTGCAGATAAACACCTAGATGGAGTCTTGTACATGAAATGTCTTATTGTCATACTACATTCATTTTGCTACATGTTCAAGATTTCACAAACAATTCAGTCACACTGACAAATCAACAAACTTTTTTTTTTTACCTTGCAGGCTAATGCCTGTTCTCTCAGTCCTTCAATAACTGTCCTGTAGGCTTCCAAATCAGCAAAGAATGCTTCATGCTTTTTAAGTAAAGCCTAAAGAGAAAGAAAGAAAATTATAATTAGCTTTTTTTTTTTTTCATTTTTTGTTAAACAGAAAGATATTTTCAAAGTGATACAGAGAGAAAATAAAGCAAAATGAAAGTACAAAGAAAGTAAAAAAAAAATATTATCAAACCTCAGCAGAATCTTCATCTTTGCCGTAATCAGTGTTGGCAGCAATCGGTTCTTTTTCTCTCATCCAACTCTCTCCTTCATTGGCATCAGCAAAATATTGTTGTGCTTGAAGAGAGTCTTCAAGATCTTGTTTGCGTTGGTTTGCTTTGTCCTAAATAGAAACAATATTACTTTAGGGAAATTAAATAGATTTTATTTTAAATAAAGCATCTTTTCATTACCTATCAGCCTTGTGTTCAAGAAATAACATTTTTAAAGCAAACATTTTTAGTATAGAAATATCATTCTTGTCTTCTACATGAAACCATTTTTCTAATATTTCAATAGATTCTTTGTATCTGTTCACACCACAATAGGCATAATTGAAATGGCTCCACAAAAAAGTAGAAATTAAAATTTTTTATCAATTTATGCAATACTGTTTTAATGCATACAAAAGCATTCTTTTTACTTTGTAATATTACTTAATAAAAACTTTAATTTTATATTTTCAATTGTATGAATAAAGAATGATATGAATTTGGTGAACTACATTCATTTATAACTTTTCCAACCTCCACTATCTTATAAAAGATCATTAATTTTTTTTTCTTTTTGCAACAGTAAATTTTGGTCAATTCCTAAGATTTACTTTTGATATCTTCTCTTATATCATTTTAAAATTACATAAGCCTGAAATTTTCAAACTGGAATGCATGAATATAAAATCAAGCCTCATTCACAAGAAGGCAGTGTAGTGGGGGGGAATGAATTGTGCGAATATGGCAGGCATTTGGTGTAAAACAGAAATTGGTTGTAGTGAAGAAAGTAGATTGAAAAAACAAGTTCTACCAAGCTAAAGAAATTTTCTTACTTTTAAACCAGTCCACTTTTCCTCAAGTTCTTGAATCTTTTGCTGGATTTCTTCAGCTGCGAAATGTCCCTCTCCAATCATCCCCTGTCCTAGCTGACAGACATTTGTGATGCGACTTTCATGGCCAGCCAGCTCAGCTAGCAGGCCTTGATGTTTCTTTATCAAACTCTGCACTCCAATCAAATCACGGCCTCTGTTGGTAGAAGCAGCAATTGGTTCTTTCTCCCTAATCCAGTCTTCCTCATCTTCAACATCACGTAAGAATTGCTGCAGGCAGAGTGCATCATCAAGCTTTTGTTTACGACTTGACATCGGTTCCTACCAAGATTAAAGAAAAGATACATTTTAAATCCACAACACTTCATAATTTCAAAAGTCAATCTTTGCTAAAAAAAAAATTGTAAATTTTTTTTTTTTTAGGTAAAGCTTTGAAATATGAGAACAAGTAGTCAATGATTGCAGTAATGGTCTTATTTTAATTTTGAAAAGTCATTTCAAAAATTTTGACTTGTTATTCTTTACTCCAAAGCCAAATTTTATGAGGCTTTCTCTTCTGCCTCAATATATTTTTACGGAATCTCTAGGAATAGAGTTAAATAGAACTTAACACCAAGAACAAGTCATTAATTACCTGAAGGTTGTTGTAGCGTTTCAGGACTTGTGCTTCCTTCTTTTCAATGTTTTCAGCATCAAAATGACTGGATTCAACAAATGTCTGAGCCTGAACATGGATCCCATCAATGCGATCCTAAGTAAAGCAAAGAAAAACACAAGGACATGTAAATGTAAATATAAAAAAAAAAAAAAAAACACAAACAACAAATGTCAATCAGTAAAATTCAAATATAAAAACCATAATTATAAAGACAGTATTGCAATAAAAAGCAACAAGATGGAAAGAAATCTTGTTAAATTAATGAGAATACTTCATCTAAGGAATCTGAACAATTTTAGACTACTACTTCCTCTGTAAACAAACAATATGAAGTTTGAAACTTTTTGTTTGACTTCATGACAGAATAAGTGAATCAAATCAGCTATAGTATGCAAGTTTCTAGCAGTACAAACAAAATAATACAATTCTACACTTCAATATGACATTGTCATAATATGTTTATTACAGAGCAGCATTTCAGGTTAAAAGGTTATACAGTTCAGGTTTCACTGAAAATGGACAGTTTTCATATTCATGTTCCAGCAGCTGGAAGTTTAAAAAAAAAAAAAAAAAAAAAAATTTGATTGGCTTTCATAGTCACATCTATAAAAGCACTGTCCTGGGGTTTGACAAGGTCTTGCAAGAATAAGGGATGCAAGTTCAAATCTCATCAGAAACTTAGTCTTGATTTCCAGTCTATACAACTTAAACAGTTATGAAAAAGATGTAAAAAAAAAAAAAAAATATGACTTGAAAATTAATTGGATGACCCTAATTTTCTAAAAACACTAAGAGGGACATATATTGCTTTTAATCTATTGACCCTCCACATCCTTTAAATCAAAATTCTCAAATTCTGCTATTGCAACCATATAGAAGTAGTGCACAGTGAGTACTAGTGGTAATAAAACTGTGCTGGATGTCTAATAACAGTGGTAAAATTTATACTAATAATAAATATACATTTTGTTCCCACCATTTAAGACAACACTGACTTTCATGTACAAGGCAATCATCAGGTGCAGATGGAGTTTTCAATCCGCACCTGACAATTGCTTTATGCATGAAAGTGTTGTGCTAAATGGTGAGGAAGTGTGTGTGTGTGTGTGTATATGTATGTATGTGTATATATATATATATATATATATATAAAACTAGACCCGTTTCCAAACTTTCCCTGACGATCCGTTTAGGTGAAACCTAGGTAGGTTTGTCTGGCTCACTAGGTATGTATATATATATATATATATATATCACAGCTATTTGAGGTTTCCTATAGCCCCACTGAACTTAAATAAAGTCAATTCAGGTTTCCTATGGTAAAAATTGTCTTTCCTAAGTGAAAATCATCACAAAAATGGCAAGTCATTTTGTCACAGCTTATTTTCTCTCAAAAAATGGATTTTCATGCTTTTATAGGGGTAAAATATTGAAAAAATGACTGTTTTATCATCATCTAAACAAATATCAAGGAAACATTTGGTCTGAACCCCATGAAACTAGGTGTTTTCTGAAAGCAAAGGATATATTCTTTCATTTAAAAGTAGCCTAAATCATAATCAAACTATTTCAGGCATAAAATTGAGAGTTTTGAAGGAAATCAACATTCCTAGGTGAACAAAATGTGACAAAATCCATTGTTAATTTTCAATTATATGACTGCCAAGGATTAAAAAAAAAATTGACACCCAGCCACGGAAATCTTTAGTAAAAGGCAAGAGATTTATCTGCAATTCCTAACCACCAGAAACCAAACTTTTTTTTTTTGTTTTTTTTCCAAAAAATAGCGATAAGGAAAGTAAACCTAATTGACTTTGACGTCTAGGTCAAAGGTCGGTCAGCCAGCAATAAACGGCAAAACTTAAAACAAGTTGTAATAAAACCCACCACTCCCAGATAAAAGCAAAGAGTGAAAAAAAAAAAAAGGGGGTTCACAATGACTAGGGCTTGATATAACCTATGTTTGAACAATGGCTTGATGAGTTTTGTTTTGTTTTTAACACCCCGTGACCCGGGTGATGACAACAACACTTAGCAGACGACATTGTTTTTTTTTTGCTGTATATCTTTCGTATTTCCCATCGCCAGCCCATTTAGCCTTTCTTTTTATTCAATGATGTTCATGCCAAATGAAAGAGAAAGGAATGAATTTTGAAGGATGTTATTTTGAAGCGAAAATAAATATTTTTTTCATTAAAAAAAAAAAAAAAAAAAAAAAAAAAAAAAGGGATTTTTCTCAGAAAATTGGGCATAATTTCTTAATGCTAACCGCCGAGTGACATTTTCCACAGCCAAATCGAAGATTAATTACCAGTGAATAATTCCATGTGCAAACAATAGCCGTCTGGATCCTATAAAGTCGCCCTAAAAGGTCCAGAAGTTTACTAATTGATCGAAAAACCTGTTGCACATAATTGTATTTTTCACGGTCAGTTTCATTATTTCATCGTGATATTATCATTTTCGGACAGCCAAGTCATCAAGGATTCAGGAAAACACTTTAGCATAGGTTTTCTTTAAGAACTTGACATTCTATGAGGTGTTTAAAATGTTACTGACAAATGAGATTTTTTTGCCGAATATTTCGTTTACGCGCCATGTTGGATTTTCCTATATGACAAAAACAAGGGTTTTAAACAGCCGTGATATATATATATATATATATATATATATATATATATATATAGCCATTTGATTTCTCTAAAGGTTCTACTTCATAGTAGCAGATACTAAAATAATTTATACTATTTTTAATAGGACTTATACTTATCAAACAGCTACTAAAAAGAGAATTATTTTGTCATTCTTTTTTAATTACTCTAATACTAAATGCTAATTCCTCAAACTTATTTAGCCAAACAGGAGAAAACAACAGTTCAGTTTTCATAATACACAAGAGAATTTAAACCAAAACAAAGTTCTTACTTGATGAGCCATAATGTCTGCTTCCAGTAATCCATGTTTCTTTTGCAGGTTCTGCACACTGGTTAAATCCTAAAAGACAATAAAATAAAGAATAAACCATCTCTTTACAAAAGAAAAAGAAATAAAGAGAGAGAGAGATAGGAAAGAAACTAGTTTAAATTCTACTAATTACCTTGCCAAAATCTTCTGACATCAGCTGACCCTCAACATCACTTAACCAGCCTTCAATGTCAGTGACATTGCGGAAGAACTGTTGTTGTAAACTAGCTTCCTTAAGGTTACTCCCTGAAAGGGAAAAGAAAACAAATACAGTGTGTAGGCCATGTTTTATCCAACAAAGAATGTTAAAATATACTGAGAAAATACTAAGTACACTACCTACAACTCAAAACTATTCATGATATTTGAGTCAATCCAACATTTCAATTCATTCAAAATACTCAACTAATAAAAAATTGATTATTAGAATGAATAAACAAAAACTAAAAGAATGTTATAGGCAAATATTTGCATTTCACTCTTGTCCAAAAAATATTTTGGTTTATCTAGATTTATAATTAACTTGAATTAAAAGCTTTATTTAAAACTGTCTAATGACTAAAAATAAAATGTACTGCCATTGATGTTCATTTATTGGTTTAAAATTTGAGATGAATCAAATTCTTTAATTTTTAAATTAGAATTGGATAAAAACATTACAAAAGGTTTTACAATTAATACAATAATTTCTCAATTACAATATTATTTACTTTAACATGTTAAAAAGTATAAGAGATAAAAGAAAAACCTATCAGTTATTCAATCAAGTAAAGTTTATAAAATTCTACATTATGCAATCAAATATTAATAATATGAGGAAGAAAATTTTCAAATATAAAGAATTTTATTTTTCTAACCTTTCTTTTCTGTTTGTTCCAAGAGCTGTTCCCATAGTTTTTGAATTTCATCAATTCTCTCTCTGAAATAAGAAAAATTGTATATCAAAATTTACAAAAAGCAAGAACTTAATCCAAACAGAATATTTTTTCTTTTTACAAAATTTTATTTAAACAGTAAATTATAAATGTATGCTAAAAACATTGTGTGTGAGTTTAAAAGAAGTGAATAATATATGAATAATTGCTAGCAAAGAATAACTGTGATAAAAATCATTGGCAATGAAACAATTTAAAGTTAAATCTCAATTCTGATGATGGGTGATTATTTTAATTCAAAACCATCAGATAAAAGAATGAATTATTAAACAAGTTTAAAAGGAAAGCAAATAGAAAAAGAATCCCCAAAAACAGGACGCATATTTGCAATGTGAGAGAGTGAAATTCTAAAAGGATCCATAAGCATATCAGCCATTAGGAAAAAATGTTAAAGTTTTAAGTTTAAAATTTAAATGATCCAATTTATAGAGCAAATTTCATGCCATGTATCATTAATCATACTTGGAAAAAAGACAGAAAAAGAATTAAACTGGGTATACCTGATGGTCTCGGAAGCAAAATGATCTTCTTTGATGAGTTCTTCCCCAGTTTCTTTAATGGAATCTATGCGACTCTTGTTGGCATCAAGTTCAGCTTCAAAATTTTGGTGCTTTTGGACTTTTGTTTGTAGATTGGTGGGATCCTAAAAAAAAAAAAAAATGATAGTTGCGAATCGAGATAATTTCAAAGAATTTAAACAAACATAAGTAGGGATTATATGACATTTTTGTTAAACAAATAAAATTTCCAAATAGAAATATTGCATTAGGGATTATTTGGAAATATTAATATCAATGAGAAAGAGAATCTAAAAGATTTTCTAATATTCAGAATGCTTTAAATATGGAGGAAATGCAGAAAAATGGTCAAGTGAAATAACCTTACATTTTTTGTAATATTTATATGACAATATAAATATATGTTGATAAATAATTTGTTTGATTGAGAAGAGTTTATAGTGAATTACAATGCAAGTGATATTGGATAATTGAAAGTCTAAAAAGCAGAAAAGCTGACCTTGTAGCTTTCATCACTTGCAGTCTTCAGTTTCTCATTAATCCAGCCTTTAGTCTCGTCACAGTCCCTTTCAAACATTTGGTATTTGGATGAAGCTTCCAGCATTTCTCGACGTTCGCCAGATTTTTTGTACAATTTATTCCGACGATCCAATAACTAAAAAACAACAAAAAAATGAAAAAACCATTACAAAAGTAGATACTACATGAATGCTAAGATGTTAAACACAAAAAGCATTTAAACTGTCAAGAAAAATATTAATAGAAATTGTACAAAAGCATTTTCTGTCATCTTTTTTTTGTTTTAAATATGAACAAAATCTTAAGAAAAATTTAAGAAAGCACAAAAAAATATTTCATACATTGATAATTTTTTTTAAGTTAAAAATTGTAACAATTAAAAATATTTAACAAATTTCAAAAGACAAGGTTTTATTTACTTATTTAAAAAATAAAAAGTAAAAATTACAACAGGCCAATATTTATAATTACATTTAAAAAAAAAAAAAAAATCATTTTTCATACTCAAGTGTAAGATGAAGTATCAAGTGTTGTTAAAAGAATTTGCTGAAATTTGCTTTAAAAAGATAACTAAGGTGTACTCACATAAGAAGAGGTACTAAAAAGTTCTAAGTCCTTAAAACAAAACAAAAAGAAAAAAAAAAAAGCATAAAAATTCTGATGTTTAGTCAGATCAAGAACTTTTCAGCACCCTACCAGTTCCAAGGAATAAATAAATAACTGCAGTGACTCACCTGGTCCCTACGTGTTGCAACATCATCATGGGCATAATGTTCACTTTCAATCAATTTGGAAGCAAATTCATCCAAAGCCTACAAAAGGAAAAAAACACTTATTTAAAATATACATTGAATAACAGAAGAGGAAATTATCCCAATGATTTTTGTACGTTTGGTCATTTGAGTATTCTGACATGTAAACACCATCTTTAAAATTAGGAATACATGTTTCCGACTCACCAATTCCAATCTCAAGACTTGATCAAACGTTTTTAGACAGTCAAATTAATTGTTTCATTTGGTTCCTTTTTTCATTATGGTTCTGAAATTTCTGTATCCCGTTTAGTTACTTTCATATATTTAGTATAACTAGTTTATTCCCTTCAGTGACAATTGTATTTCTTTAAAACATGGATAAAGGGAAAGAAATTAATTGAATAAAATAAATGCCAACTATTTGAAATAAGAGATTAGTAGGACAGTATCTTAGATTTAAAAAAATACCAATAGTGGATTGAGAAAGTATCATTGAAAAATGTTGGTTTCTATAGAAATGTGTCTCAGAGATGGTCCATCAAATGAATGGAGACAGAAAAGAGAAATACAACTGCAGCAAAGTTCAATTTAGTTCTATTCCAACTGAAAACTACAAAATATAATTTCTCAAACACTACATGCATTTCATTCTTTATAGAAGAATTTAGTTTCACTCAAGCACAATAAAATAATGATAAGCAACACAAACAAACAAGCTTTGAACAATTTTGCTGATAATGCAGGAGAGATCCACTCAACATGTAAAAATAAAAATGAAGATTTCTGCCACTTTTGTCAAGCTTAAATCTATGTAGCATTAACACTAATTTCTTAATTTTAAATCAATATCAAAGTTTTTTTTCTCTTTTTTTTTTTCTTTTTCAGTATTGAACATTGTCTTGCTTTAAACACTGCCAGCCTTTGCTAATCAATCAACCTCTCACTGGTCCAAGCATTTTACCATAAACAGATAATTTCACAGACAGAGAAATAATAAACTATCCTCTGTATCATTTAACAATATGCAAAACTTATTCTAAAAGGGATTGAGACAGAAAAAAAAATTTGTTTGGAAAATGACAAGAGATAACCAGTGTAAAAAGTTAGAGCCTGAAATTTCATTTTTTTTTCTATATGTCTCTTGATTTTTTTTTTAATCTAAAATGCTCTTACAGTGCACTGGGAAGCTAGTTGATATAACAGAATAGAGAAATGTGGCTTGTTATAAATTGAGGGATACATATTTGATTTATATCCAACACCTTTGGCGATATTAAAACCATTAAGTGCGCTGTCCAATCACTTCAACAAAATTGTGACAGTATCATAAAGACATACAACTCAGCCCAACAACCAGTAGAAATTTAAAAATACCAAGTGTGTTGGTTTTTGTTTTATTCTGTGATTTAGGAGGGTTTGTGAACTTGCCATGATCTTTTAGTTCAATCTTTATTGTCCAAGATTTCAAAAGAATTTTCACTTGTTCTGTATAGCTAAAGTCTTAACCAGAACACACTATTTGTTTTAAGCTTTTTCTTAACATTTCATTTCTTTCTCACTTGCTTTGTTCTTTTCCATTGCTGTCATCTCAACCAAAATGATTTTCTCTTACCATTTACTCATTTCCTTATTGGCAACACATTTTAGGGATGAGGGTACACAGCAGTGGTGACATCAGTTTACTCCTAAATAATTCTGTTATTCCATAGTTAATTATCTGTGAATTATGAGCAATTATTACCAAAGGCTTGTAAAATGTAACAAGTGGATTTTTCTATCTTACCAGTTAGATATCTAGAATCAGAATATAAAAAGAAATACCTTAATCTTTTCTTCTTGTGCAGCTAAAGACTTTTCGAAATCATCATGTTTCTTGATGAGAGCTTCTACGCTGTCAAGAGAGTCTCCAAGATCTTCATTGGCGAGGAAAGCCTGCAACAACAATAAATTAAAATAGCTATATATAAAATAAAAAAGTGAATTAAAATATTTTAGCCAAAGTAAATGTATTCATAAAAAAAAAGGCAACAGGAATTGAAACAAATAAAAATAGATTAAGTTCTATTAGCAATTTAACAATGAACCAAGAAGTAAAAATAATTAAATCAAGTCAAAACAAATAAACCAATATCAATGGTGGGGCTCCTAAGCCTTTTCTCTTTGTGGGCAAAAAAGTCTTAGTTAAGAATGATGATAAATCATTTTAAGAAATAATTTTGATCACACACACAAACACAGTGCGATTCAAATAAAAACGTTAACATTACTATGGGGGTACCTTGATTAGAAAAGCAAAATATATGTTATGATTTCAAAAAGCTTCCTTGCTCACCATCAGTGTCAACACATTGTGGATAATTCCAAGGATATGTTGACAGCAATGATGAACAGGTAGAGACTGAAATCATTATATAAATTCTGTTTTCTAATAAAACTAGGTTATGTTCAAGAATTCACAAAAAAAAACAGCATAGCATGATGAGAAAGGGGCCCCAAACTTAATAAAAACAAAGTTTGATCGTGAAAAAGTTTATATTATTAAGAGGAAAGACCAAAATATTTTTTGATTATATTTTAAAACATTTTATTCTTTTCTAGCATGTTTGAAGTTTTGGTTGAAAATTGGGTTTTCTTTTTTTTTTTAAGTCAAAGGTCACATAATATTTAGCATTAGTTTTTTTCGTGCTTTTTGTCAGTTGAAAAATACATTAATTTGGATATTCTTGCAAAAATCAAATAGTTGGATTTTAATGAAACTTTCAGAATTTATTAAAAATGAATGAAATTATTTTAAAAATGATTTGGAAATTTGTGGTAAATTTTTTTTTTTTGTTAAAAACTTAATTTATGAAAACTTGAAAATCCCAAATTGTAAATTTCTGTATTTGTTTTTATTAAATGCAGAAGACTATGAAGAATGTAAATGAATTAACTGTTCTACCCAAACTTTAGCTCTGAATAATATATATTAATGACATTTTTATCTGAAGCCGGAATATTTTTGATGAAAAATGAATTTTTAAAAGAATGTTTTTTTAATTTTAAATGCAAAATGTGATAAAGTTGTTAAATATTTTAAAATCAAATTTGAAGCAGCATGTCTCAGGAAATGTTCTTTTTAAAAGATCTACTTTTTACAGATCTTAAATTTGAAAGCTTATTACAATCTGCGAAACTGTATTTTTACAATAATTTTTTAATATACGAAAAAACGTATTAAAAACACTCCTGGTGAAACTACAGAAGCATGATTCTGAAATAATATCATGTGTGCTTAAAGTTGTTTCTCCTGATAGCATATTAATTTCTCTGGTTAACCAAACATCACAGCATTTTCAATATTTTTTTTTTTTTTAACATATTTCACTAAATATTTTCTTTTCATTTTTTAAATATAATTTTTTTCTTTTTCAGTGAAAGATATACTGCAATTATTAATTTTTCTTTTTTAGATTCAATTTTAGGGATGAAAATAATGCAGGATTTGGATATATTTTTGTTAAAAAAATACCTAAAAGAAATCAATAAATATAAGTCTTTTGAAAGTATTTAATTTTTAGGAATTACTTTATAGTTAAATAAGCTGGTTCACTTAAAAATTAAAAATACTGTCACTTCTGCCCTTCCATCTGATAAATTGCCCTAATGTTAGTTGTTGATACATTGACGTAAATGTCAATTCATACCTCCAAAACCAATCACCACAGTGAGGCATGCTTCTCTTATTTCCAACTAAATTTTTTCTACTAAAAAATTAACTAATGTTTGTTTCAAATTACATTAAGTATACTTTAAATTTTCTAATTTTCATAAAATATCTTTTGAAAAAAGTATAATTGAATTTTGCTAGAAAGGATTAAAAAATTTTTTTTAAATATTCAAAAAATACTTTGGTATTTAATAATAAACATTTAGACGATAAAAAATCATTTAATCAATTTTGGGGCCTTTTTTCATCAGCAAAATATTGGACATACCTAAATAAAAGGTACAACCAGAGATGGGGAAAAACATTTTTATGAATTATTATATATATAAGTTTGATTAAAAAGAACCAACAAGATTATTTGTTATATTTCTCCAATTTTTGAATAAAGATGTGTAATATGATCAAAATTATGGATAAAATGTCTGAAGTTTATGTGTTTTGTTCAAGTACTTTCAACAATTTCAATATGTGTATGTATGTGTGAAATTTAAACAATTATGAATTGATGAATAATTAGCTAGTAATTCAATGTGATAAACATAAGATTCTTTTTAACAAAAATAAAATGCAAGAATTATTAAGGCAAGTATAGAAATTTATTTTTCTTTAAAAATTTGGCAAAAGAATCAAATCTAAAATTAAAAACCTAAGAAAGTATATGCTTTTTTGTGTTTTGAATATAGAGAACCTTATTTCCATGGAGTCTTGGTAAAGACCGATTGTAAAGTTTATTTACCTCCTGCTTAGTCATCCAGGTATCAGCCTGCTCTGTGTCTCTGTAGAACAACTGAAGATCCATGCACTGTTCATACATGATACGTCGTTCCTCCCAGAGCTCAAGGAGATTGTTGCGCTCAACTGCCAATTCTTGCAGCTGGGGAGTAAATGTAAATTAGTAATAACATTTATTAGTCAAAATTTTATATTGAATCTTATATAAGCTATACAAACCAGAAACAGTTACTATCAAGTTATTTTTTGATTATGTACATATGAAAAATGAAAATAATGTTGAATGAAAGAATTTGAAAATAATTACTATAGATATGTTATTAAGTTACAAAAGTCTATATTTTGTAGCACCCAAGAGTAAGACAAATTAATGACACCTGTAAGGAAATATTTGGATGATTTTTATCCTTGTAAGCAAAACAGCTGATACTAAAGATTAAATTATAGACAGTTTTACTTTCATACAATGCAAATCTATAAAGCTGTAACAAGAATTTTGTACAATGTATAAAGTGAGGTGTTGCTGTGAAAGTAAAATTAAATTTTTCTACTCATTAGATTTTGATATTAACATTTTAAAATGTTGACCAGATTTAATCAAGTTCAGTGACTAAGCAATTATTATATGAGCAATGTCATTAATCAACAGAGTTTGTAGTTCAGAGCAATAGTAAAACAAATTATTTTGGTCAATAAGAGACAAAAGACAGATGATTTTGTTACTCACTTTTTCTTTAATATCATTGGCAGCATAATGTTCTGATGAGACTAAGTTTGTTCCAGCCTCAGTGGTAGCTTTAAAGCTGTCAGCTCTAGCATCAATTTCACCCTGAATAGGTAAATTAAGAAAGAAGAACAGTTATAAAAAGAGAAAATTGTGCAAAGAGTTTTTTTTCTAATTATTTGTCACCTGAGACATTATCAAAATATCAATATTTGAATGCAGCTCATGTGGCTGGTTTTTTTTGTTACAATATTTCAAATTAGTTTAAAGCAAATTATCAAAGTGACTAGTAAACAGTCATCATGCATACAGACAGAAGACGATTACAACCAAATGAATAGCACATGTTTAATTAGGAGCTATTCTAATAAGGGCATTATTGCAAACAATTGTAACTGTTTTTTTTCTAATAATTATAAGGACAGCAAGAGAAGTCAGCGTTTCAATGTCCTAAGTGTAGCCCATTTTATGCCCCTTCATTAAAAGAGGTAGCGGTCTAATAAAATATTCAGTTGTGAAATAATTTCACTATATAGCAGCTTGGGAATCTTTTTAGATGTAGAACAATGACTAGAACTATTGAGAGAGAACTTGCTTAAGTAAATATCAGATAAATGTACCTTGTGTTCATGATGGCTCTCAAGGAGAGCTTCAGCACCAGCAACATCTTTGGCAAGTTCATCAGCAGAGATGATGGCACGCATGTCGTGGATCCAAGAGATCAAGTCTCGAAAATCAGCAAGGAAGCGATGCAGGTTGTTGGAATCATCAAGACGAGATTTGCGCTCAGCAGCCTAAAATGATTAAAAAAAAAAAAAAAAAAAAATTAGTTGAAACTTATGTGATCACTTTACAAGATTAAAAGAAAAAAAAAAAGAGCCATACTTTTTTACATTTGTGCATAATGCACCTTTTGTTCTCTAGAAATAGGACAATAGGTGCATTATGCATAAATGTGTTACAGTTACATCCTCTTGACACAAAGTATAGTAACTACATTACATGGGCACCTCAAAACAAAGTAATGGTAAGCAGCAAGTCTAGTTGACAATAACTATAGTTTGATCCTCACTAGATGGCATATACTTGTTGCCTTGTGCCAAAATTAAATTAAGCTTAATAAATAACTACATTATAACACCTTTAAAGGATAAATAAAAAACATCTGATCCTTGAAGACAACCCAACAAATGTACATCAAATCTGTGATTTTCAAACTTTGAAATTGTTTAATAAGAACATTATCATAGCGATGACATTTAAAAATTGAGTATTTTTTGTATTTCACTCTCTATAAAAGTTATCCAGGCCAAGAATTAATAATCTATATCAGTGATAGAAGATTTTACACAAGTGCAATTCAACTACTCAACATTGCTAGTTGAAAGAAAACATTAGAATCACCACACCTGAGTGGTTTGTAGCAAGGCTGTACATTCAATTTGTGAAATGTATTTACTTATAACAGAAATTTTTCAGATTTCTTACATGAACCAAAAAAATAAAAGATATGTTAAATAAACTTTAATGAAAGGTTGATAAATAAAAATAAAAGCAAATACCCACATGAAGAATATTGTGATGATATGTGAAGATAAATTAAAAAAAAAACTTTGGCAATTTTTACAGAACTATATTTCCCAGTAATATTTCATTCTTGATTTTCAAAAAAAAAAAAAAAAAAAAAAAAAAAAAAACTGAAACCTTTTTGCATACACACCTTGTTAGTTAAAGCAATTGTCTAACAAGCCCTTTTCTGTATCCTCTTTAAGCTCTTTAATTTGTCAATAGAACAAATGAGAAATTATAAGACATAAGACTCACTTTTGCCACGAAGGCTCTGCCAGTTCTCCTCAATCTCGCGCTGCTTCACCTCAATCTGTGGAGCCTGGTCAGCATGGATCTCTTGAAGACGTTTTGCTTCAGTTCCCAGCGAAGTCACCTAGCAAAACAAAAGCAGCAAATACAACAAATCATTATTTTTTTTTCTTTTTCTTTTTACAGTTTTAAATTATTTACCCTCCTACTATCACTCAATCAATATTTTGATCATCTTTCAAAGTTTTTCTAATGTTAATTTCCTTCTGATCCTTAATTTTAATACCTTTTTTTATTAGTAACACAATTAACCATTAAGAAATCAATGTCCTACAATTTATTTTCTCAGATGCAAGTAACAAAGAGTTCGATGAAAATATAAGCTATAAAAATACATAAAATTATATAATGAGCACCAATTAATCTGTTAGATTTTTTTTTTTTGTGCAAACTAAAAGAAACCATCAGTTTCATTAATACTGGTCTAGTAATTGTAGCAAAGTACACTTTTAACCTGTAATTAAAAACTATTTATTTGACCAATATTTATATATTTACCATTACAATAGAAAAGAATTATATTTCAAATCATTTTATTGACAAGCAAATATTTAATTTTTCAATAAATTAGAAATAAGACAAAAAAAAAAAAAAAAAAAGTCGTGGGGATAAAATCAATTGATACAAAATCCCTCACCTTCTCCTCCAATGCTGCCAAATCTCGTTCGATACCTTCATGTTTTCTCTGGAGGGCTTGCACACTGGCCAGATCACGGCCATAATCATCCGAAGAGAGGACAGCATCCTTCTCAGTAATCCAAGCAATAGTTTCATCAGCATCTCTGAAAAATTGGATTTTACAATTTTTACAAAAAGTTTAAAAGAATTACTAACAGTTCACAATTTACAAATAAAGATGTGGCCATCATGTCAATGTTTATTCAGCAATAAGAGATTTTTTTTAAACAGCATCAGCCAAGAATTATAAATGTTTAATACTGGCCATCTTGATTTAATTAACCTTAATGCCGTTTGACCAATTCAGAACTACATTTTAGACAATGAAGCCGAGAGCAAAAATTTCACAAAGGCAAGAAACCTGTCAAGTACACAAATATGATCCAACTTTCATTTTAGAGGATGTACAGGCTTATTAGCATGCTTACCGATTGAAACGCTGAATTTCATGTGCACCAAAAAGCCTCTCCTGTCTCAATAATGAACGAGACTTCAAACGTTGCCATGCTTCATTCACCTCCTGTAGAAACAAAGTAAAACATATTCAGCTCTTAAGGAAAATTAGGATTTAATTTTAAAATATAGCAGTTTTCAATTTGTATTTGAAAGTTCAAAACTACAATTTTTAAAAAGATTTGTCACAAAGGTTGAAAATAGATTTCCAGAAACCTTATATATCATCAACAATTCTTCTTTGTCCACTGCTAGATAAAAAGGCATTTCCCTCCATGGCAGCTGTGACTGCTATTCATTGCTATGTCTTATCAGCAAAACCCCTCTATCCCCTCTATCCCATCTTTCCATCTTTTCTTATGGAATTTGAGTACCAATCAACCAATCTTTTGCTTCATCTGCTATCCTTTTTGTATTGAGCAACACACTTCTGTATCTATTTTAGCCTATTTTTAAATCAACATTTGCCTCTTTCTATATGCTACAGCTGTCACAAACATGTTTTTTTGCACCTATTGTTTTTTGTTTTTTTAAACTCAAGGCTTTAGGCAGGGACAAAACAGGAATTTAAAAAACAAAATCACTTCAAGATTCAGATATGAATTTGAACATTTTCTGTTTCATTAGACAGAACTTTTGTTTCTCTATGTAATATTATATTTTTTTCTCCTATATTTGTTTGATTACAATTTTGTCATCTTATTGCAAAAATGTTACCTGTTTATTACTTAGTAAATTTTCAAAATAAAACCTATTATGCTTCTTTAAGATTGAAGAAAAAATATATCTAAAATGGCCCATTAGGATTAGATAGTGCATTTATTTCAATAAAAAGCTTTTTTTTTTTTTTTTTTTACATAAATATAGCTCCAAATGCATTAGTTTCTGATTACATATTTTATAATACAAAAAACAAATTTATACAATAGATTTTTTTTCTGAAAAATAATCAAATTCATTACATAAATATACTGTTAGATTTGTATTTAAATATTTTTATAACTTTATTCTACATATATTTACCAATGTAAATTCAGATACAGTTTTACAACTTTTGCCACAAAATGATTAATAACATTGTTGATATTAAAGAGATCCCAACCCCAAAATTTATAGATGACAATGAGATTAATTATTATAAATTAATTTTAAATTAAAACCAGATGACCACTGATCTTTCAGTTTTTAACCAATACATCAAAAAGGTTAACAATTACTAATAAATTGGGGAAAACATCCAGGGTGGATGACTAAACGGTTTTATCCATTCGTCCGCCCCCTCTACAGGCACCATATTAGAAAAAGAAAAAGAATTAAAAAAAATACTGACAAAAATTAAGTCTAATAATAAAGTAACTATGATTAAGTAAAGTTTAGAAGCTGGGGATAAAAGCAGCAGGGTTTGTAAAACAAATAAAATATCTTAAGTCTTGTATGAACAGAACTCCAACCAAGACAGTCATTTTATCTCCTAAAAATATCTTACCTGTCGTCTGGTAGTAATTAACTCAGCATCGGGATGACTTTCAGATAGTAATTGGTCAGCAAGAGTGTTCACCTCGGTTACTTTGTCTTCATTATTTGCCAAGTCCTGTAAAGAATAAAAATTAATTAGTATAAAATTAAAAATGAGAAAGGCAAAGCTATGTGCGCACATACACACACATATATATATATATATATATATATACACACACACACACATTGTATCTTGGTAAACACACAAGAATATTTAATAAAGTTAAATCTGTTTTAGTCTACTGTCAGAAGTTTTGAAAACATTAACTCTTGATATATTTTTGTAAAGAGTAAAACTAACAAAAAGCTATTGAGACAATTATTTTTTTTCAAATACAATTGCAGCTTTTTTCTAACTACATTTATGAGAATATAAAATATGTTAGAGATTACTCATTTTTTGTTTTTTTTATATGTTATAAAAGTGGAAATCAAATCTTGTATTTAAGTAGTCAACAAAAGTCAATAATAGCAAAAAATAGTTTACCTTTTGAAATTCATCAAATTTCTTCTGCAATACTTCCACATGTTCAAGGTCTTGGCCAAACTCTTCTGAAGTCACGAATGCTTCCTGCATTAAAAAATAAATAACTTACATGAAAAAACAAAAACAAAAAAAAAAAAAATCATCTTCCAACTCAGGGACACTTTAATATATTCATATTGATAATTATCAGAAATAAATTAGCTTTCAAATAATTTAACTACAAAATAGTTTATGATAGGGAAACAAAGTAATTATAAAGTAGATTTAAAATATTTATATAACTTCTGTGTCCAAGGGAGAACTAAAATGTACACAGAAAATTGAAACTCTTTACAAAATAGTTAATTATCAGGGAATGTGAAAATAATTTACTATTATTATTGTCCAAAAACAAATTGGATTTATCTTTTAGCTGAAGTCACAAGCATTATTTAATTGTCCCAAACTACCACATCAAGAGCAATAACTGAAAGCAAGAGATGTGGAAATATAAAAAAAATTAACTGGGACTAACAAGTAAAAATGCCATGCAGCTTATCAAGGGCATTAAGATTGGTGGGGGATGGGACAAAAATACAGAACAGAGTAGGAGATAGAGAGATAGATCATGCCTATTGATCACAGATGGATTTTTTTTTAATGTGTTGTGAATGGCTATAATCCCAGAATAAGAGAGATGAAGGGAGTTAACTTTGAACGTAAACAACAGTGTAAATTTTCTGTTAAGTATAAAATTATTACAGCACACTGATTTATTATTTTACTCCAGTATTTATTTTAACTGTGAATAAAATCTGTTTTGCATTAAAGATTCCTCTAATAAAAAATTAAAACTAGATAACCTAATATCTATAAATCATCATTTCTAATGAAATTAGAATAGGGGCCCCAGTTTGTCCCTTCATCTTCCTGTGAATTGGGTCTTCAATTTTAACGGCTTTCAGCTCAAGATGCAGATGTGACATCAGATATTGAATATTAGTCATGTTTTGAAAAAAAAAAAAAAAAAAAAAACTGCTGAATGATGAGATGATAAGAAAATTTAATTCTGTTGAGCATTCTTTTTTCCTTTCTCCAAAAACATTTATTCCGCTACTAAAATCAAACTAGTGAGAAATTTCCATAAATAAAAAAATTTGTAGATATTTTTTCACTTTACAATACACCAACAGAATTAAGATCAGGATGGGACATTAAATTCTGAAGGATAAGATTATAGATATTGTCAACAAAGTTTATTCTTAATCATTAGATAAAATCTAATGGCTGAGAGAATATTAAAAAAAAAAAAAAAAAAAAAAAAAAAATAAAATAAAACACACACACACACTTTCCCCACTCCTCTCTATACAATCAAAAGTAGTTCATTTTGCATTTACACTTTATTTACTAAATAGTAGAAATAATGATAAAGAAATTTCTAATACCAATATTAATTACAGATTTTGCAGTATTTTCTTACTCCCAGAAGCACTTCAATATTCTCTTAATTCTAAACTCACTTTGTGGGCACCTCATTGTGGTTAACAAGCTAAGTTCACACTTTAACGCTTCATTACTACAGACAAACATTTCATTAAAACTGAAATCATAGAATTCATTTTATTTGCTTCTTGTAGTCAAATATAACAAAGAAAATAAAGACTAGATAGAACCAATAAAAAAATTAAAAAATATTGATAATGAAAAGTTTGTACTAGTAAAATGTACCAATTTAGAGTCATGTAGTTATTTTATAATTGGTAAAAGAACTGTACAAACATGATGTATTGATGAGAGATTTTTTTTTATGATTGTTGTCATTCTTGTAAGTTTGGAGCATCACCTGAAAGAGGTGTGTTGTCAAAAACAAGTGCCTTTGTTTTCAAAATCCTTCTATTGCATTTTATAGAAGACAGAAGAAGGATCAATGTAGTGACATGATTTGAGCTGATTGCACAATGAAAGTGGCACACGAATATGACTGGTTAGAACTAAATGCACTGCTACTCATATTAGAAAAGAGGAAGGAGGCGGGAACCACGCACACAGAGCTGGGGATGGGGATGAACTGAAAGAGAAGATCAAAAAGTTGAAGTCACACTTTGCAAACAAAATTGTTGGTGTCAAAAAAATTATCAGAACTTCATTCAACAGAAACACAAAAATAAACAATTGTCTTAAAGAAAGGTGAACATAAAATAATAGGGAGCAAATGATCAGAATTTCATCTTTAAATATTCTCATTTTAAATCAATTAAAAGGAATTATATTTTATGTGAATAAAGCATAGACTTCGAAAAAAGAAGAAGAAAAAAAAAAAAAGAAATTATCAGAAATTTTTGAATTCCAAAAATTTGAAAGTTTTAAAATTGGATTCAAAACTTGTATTTTAAAATCTTGAATTTAATAAATTTTTTTTTTTTTTTGTAATTTTAATTAAAGGCTGCTGTGAAATTACAGGCCACACCTAAAATGAATTTATTTTTCTGAATAGAATAGGGCATTGGTTATGGAGAAGATCAATGAAAGAAATCGCCTAAGATTTATATTCAGCTTCAAATAGATTGATTTGACTTCCAAATCTAAAGTATTATACATTATGCTTTTTAATAATTTCTAAGTAATCTGGTATAGCAACAAAATGAGCAATAGAAAATAACATTTACTGGCAAATAAAATACATTTCTCCTTGGCAAACATTTAGAGCTAAACCTCAAAATCTTTGATGAATCCCATTGCTTATATTTATACTGTTCTTTGATAAAGCATGCATTTTAAATGCCAGCAAATACGTTCATTTTTGGTTTCTTTAGCAAGCAAGGCACAAGTAAGCTAAAATAAATATATTAATTTTTCCTGGTCAAGTTAGTTAACTATTGATAGTATAATATACAGACAAAGTGTTAAAAAAAAATACTTTGAGAGTTCTGAACACTTTTCTGAAGTAGCTATCAACAGTTTTGTGCTATTAAGTTTAGCTTTATCCATGCAAGAGTAAAATTTCAAAAAGAAAAAAAAATGAAATACTGCTTTAGAGTTTTATTAAATTTTTTTAAAAATAAAAACATCTAAGTCATACACTCCATAATTTTTATAAATTCATGTAATTGCTTTATTTAAACTCAAATCAACCAATGATAAATGGTATCAAAAAAAAAAAAAAAAAAACAAAAAAAAAAAAACTGTGCTATCAACAAACCATAATTACAAAAAAATTTTTTCAATTTCTTTAGTTACTTATGAAATACAAAAAATACAAAAATCTTCAATCTTTATACAATATTGTAAAATAGAAAAAAAAGCCAGACAAATGTAAATAGTCTCAAATTGTCCAGTAATAATGTTACCAAAAATTGTTCTAAATCACTGGATTTGAAAGAAAATGTTTGAAAACAATATATTGCTGGAAAGCATCTAAGTCTATTATCTCTTCAATAAAGTTAAAGTTATGAATATATGTGTGTGTGTCAGAGAGAGAGAGAGGGGGGGTGGGAGACACACACACACACAATTAAATCCAATGTTTACTTTGAATTAAAATTTATCTAGCTGCCTTTGAAAGCATAGCTGAATGGTAGAGCAGAAAAATAAATATAGCCTAAAGATTCAATCTCAAAAGCTGGGTAGGAGAAATTTTTCTCAAATACACACTATGGGGGGAGGACCCCCCCCCAAAAAAAAAAACATAAACTGGATTTCTTTTTGCTATCAGTAAGTGATGGTCAATAATGTCTATGTTTTTGTTCTGAAAGATAAAGGGAATTAGTTTATAAAGAAATCTTCAAAACACAGAATGATATTTTATTAAAAAGCTAAAAAGATTATCAGAAAAGCTACTAGGAAAAAGAAATGCATTTATTAAGATCAAATCACTACAGTCATTTTACAAGCAGTTAGAATTTATCTCTCATCTGAAACAAGTTAACAGTAAAAATTTAAATTTGATAATTTTTTCTATGAATTCAAGAAACAGAAATTTTGCATGTTCACATAACTGTTTAAAAAAGTTTTTAGTTAATAGACAAACTTAATTCACTTTAAAAAATCATAATATAGATAATTCTTTTAATTATTTAAAAACGCAGGTCATGACATGTTCCCAAACTATTTTCATGTTCTTCCTTTCTTTCTAGGTGAATATAGTAGTTTTATATCCACAACATTTGCTCTTAATTTTAAACAGAAAAATGAAAATTAATAAAAACATGTGCGGCCTGAGGCAACATTCAATTGTTTGAGCACACTGGATGTTTGCATGCCTGGCCACAAGCAATAGCTCAGCAATGCCACACTCTACTTACCAATTTTTCAATAGGATTCTAAAAAACAAGTCAACAGCCATATTAATGAGAAGAGGATGGAGAGTAAAAAGTGGAGGGAGAAGAAAAAGACCCTTTTGAAGAAAAAAAAAAAAAAATTGAAATTTTATATCTTAGTTGGCTGTATTAAAAATGCTTTCAAAAATTTAGATTTAGAAAAAAAAAAAAAAAATTTTTTATTTTATTCAGCATCACATACTGATATTTTTAGTTTAATAAATGGGGCCTATTTAGTCCTTCCATTAAAAGAGAAGTTAAAATATGAACATTTTTATGCAATCATCTATTAAGAAAAAATAATTTTAAGGAATTTTTTTTTTTTTTTTAATTCTTTGCACTTGTGAATTGCATTAAGTGTAAATTAACCTGAAAGAATTATTTTTCAGAATATTGGTCAAGGAAAAGAAAAATTAAATTAACAAAACTGTCCATTTATTCATTTGGTGCTTATTTACAAAGATTTTTTTTGTTTATACAATCACCAGGTTAGTTCACAGGGGAAGATATGGGTTAAATAAAAATCATACATTTTTTTTTGTTTTTCTTGCAATTAAGTCAATCTAAAAATAATGCCATGTTACAGGAATTTCTACATTTTTAATACAGTCTAGATATTCAAGTATCATAGGAAGCAAGTCTCAAATTACAACACAAAGTTAAAATTCATTTTGAAAGCTCAATGGAAGTACTGTTTCATTTTCTGACCAATCAAAATTGACATACTATAGTGCCATGCAGCGTATAAAGAAAAAAAAAATTTCTCTAAAATTTCAGTTTCTACCCAATTTCATACATAACTGTATAGCTATCATATATATTAAAGTTAATAATTTATGATTTTTTTCTCCAAAAGTTATACAGAAAGCCTTCTTGTAACATGGTACCATATCATGATTGAATTGAAGTATGCCATATAAATAAAAGTCAACCTTGTTAACAGAATGGGAAAAGGGAGAGGGGGGGTTAAAAATTACCTACCTTGTCGTTAATCCAAAACATGACCTCATCACACTCTCGCATGAACTGGACGAGACGCAATGCCTGTTGCAGCTTCAGACCCTTTTCAGACAACTTAGAGATAAGAAGTTGCCATAATTCATGCAATTTGTCCAGACGCTCCTATACAAGAAACAAAAAGCACAAACTCGTTATTTCATAGGAAAAAAAAAAAAAAAAAAAAGAAACAAAAAAACTAAATGGTTTATAGTGCAGGTTCAGCAAAACCTATTGCAATAGAAAGGTCTCAATTTTATTTTTACTCTAACTTCAACATTTGATTTTTAAAATCTTAGCCTAACCTACTCCTATTCAGAGTTATGTCCTATTAAAATATAGAATTTTTTTTTTTTTTTTATGTATTATTTCCAAATGTTAAATGAGTAGGTGATTTTGTACCTCAAAAAAAAAAAAAAAAAAAAAAAAAAAAAAAAGTTTAACTGCTATAAGTCATATCTTGAAAGCTAACTAGAGAAAACAAATAGGAAAAAAACAAAAACATTTTCAGTATTTCACCGAAAAATTCTGGAGAATACATCACAAATACATAAAATGAAATATTACAAAAGATGTCTAAAGTTTTAGTATTTTCTATACCTAAAGAAGTTTAGTCAGATTGCGATAAAGCTTCTAATCCAGACTATTTTTAGTAGATATATACCTGTTTACACATACATTAACAAAGGGACATAATAAAAGGTGAATGTACATGCACACATACCTGAATAGTCTTTGAGGCAAAGTGTTCTTGCGCAATCATCTCCTTACCAACATTATCCAGGCTGACAATAGCATTGGAATGGGCTGCCACTTCAGCTTCAAATGCTTGATGTTTTTGGATTTTGGCCTGGAAGAAAGAAATAGATATTTTACTTACACTTCAACAAACAATATTTTCTATAAAGTTTATTTTTTTTTAATCTCTGTAAACAAAAAAAAACATGTGAGAAAAATCAACACCACATCTTCAATAAGTAAACTTATGTATAGGTCATTTAAAGAATGCTTAATTCTTTTCACTTAATGAAAAACTGTCTCCTAATTGGAATTGGCAATAAAGTTTAATATTTCTATAAGCACTAAGAAAATCCAACAGAGTCATAAGTTTTTATGCATTTTTCAAAGTAATAAAAACAATCCTAATTTAACTCACCTGTAAATTGGTGGGATCTTTGTAATTCTCATCAGAAGCAGTTTGTAGCTTTTCATAAATCCAGCTTTCCAATTCATCTGCATCTCTCTTGAAAAACTGGTAACGTCTTGAATCTTCAAGACGTTCTCTACGGTCCTTGCAGGCATGCTTGAAGAAACCATAGCGGCCAAGGACTTCTTCACGTCGTGTTTGAATGTCCTCCGCTGTCTCCAAAATCTTTACTTCTCTTGGCTGGACGTCGGTCATCTTGCTTTACTAAAACAAAATTTATTGGATATTAAATAGGGAATTATCACAAAATAACAAATATTTAAAAAAATAAAAATCTACAAGAATCAGATATCCAAAGAAAAACAACAATGGAAAAAAAAAGAAAAAATGAAATCATGTTATATGATAATAGAAATATCAATACACAATTTTACAATTTAGAACAAGAGACAATGTCAAAATCTTAAAAAAAAAAAAAATTTTATTTAGCAAAGTAGGTACCACCAAAAATTTGCTAAAAAGAGTATAGCATAATGAAAAGGGCCCCAAACTTGATAAAAAACAAAGTTTTATTGTCAAAATGTTTGTTATTATAAAGAGGAAAGTATTTTTGGATTATTTTATTAAATTTTTTAATCCTTTCTAGCACATTCAAAATTTTGGTTAAAAATCTTATTTTTCTTGCATCAGCAGATGGGCCGAAGATTAGCATGTGAAATTTAGTGTGTTTTTTGCAGTAAAAAAATAAAAAAACACATGGTTTTGGAAATTCTTGCAAAAATCAAATAGCCAGATTTTAATGAAATTTTCAGGACTTGTTCACAAATGAATTAAATTATTTTTGAAATTTTATTTTTTGAAATTTTTTTTACATCTGGAACCACCACTTAATTTTATGAAATTTAAAAAAATTAAAATTCCACCCTCTTTAAATTTCTATTAAGACTCCTTGGAGAATTTAAATCATCACTTGGTCAAAAAAAAAAAAAAAAAAAAAAAATCATTTACCAGAATTCTGCTCTGAATCGTAAAATAAAAACTGCAATAAAACAATGACATTATTTAATTAGAAAAGCTTTTAATTGCTTTTATAAATAAGGACACTATTGTCTTAAGACATTTTCTTTGATGAATAATTAATTTTTACAAAAAAAATTTAATTAGGATGATTTATTAAATTTTAAATCTTAAAATTCTGTATTAATTTCACCCTTTTAGATGATATTATTAAGAACTATATTTACTAATCATAAATGGAAAAGCTTATTAATACAAATCATCAAATGCCAATATTTTTAAACATGTATAAATGTGCCAATTTTTATAGATAGTATCAATATACAACATTATCAGAAAATGGGAGCAATAACTATAGTAAATTTAAAGCCAGAAAGTATCTAAAATTCAATAAAACATTAAATAAGCAAGTCAAATCAGATTAATTATACTTTAAATCAGCTAATATTCCTCAAATAAAGTTTCCGAAAAGTATATTTTATTTTTGAAAGGTTTTTTAAAGAGAATTACATTGTGATGAAAGACAACTAAAACAGTGCTCTAATCAGCTATTTTAGCAAAAAATTAAAAACTCCTTTCAGTCAATTTAAATTAGTTTTGAAATACAGCAGAGTATTTTTCTTATTGGAAATATTAAATTTAATCTATTAGCTTGAAATTTAAACTAAAATAAAAGCTTCAAGACTTTTACATTTTTAAAAATTCATTTAAAAAATTAGGTATTGCATTTTCCATGATGGTACCTACATTAAGCTAGTAAATTAAATTAGTATTAATTATCTTGCTCCACATCTCAACCAAAGAAGTTGGCATCAAATTTGAGAAGAACAAGAAAATAAAAATATAGTTTAAGGTATACTATATTTATCGGTTAAAGTGCTCAATATCATGGAGAGAACATATATAAACATAAAAGTAGATATTGAGGTCAACACTTTCCATTAAAAGTTACAGGTTGACTCGAGCCTTGCAAGTGAAATTGGATAGACTATTTGGGAGCTGTTGATGGTTGTACAAACACACAAATCATCTTGACAGAGGGTTTAAGCCTTTTTCGGACTGTTGATCATGCCAGATAATACACTCTCCCAGAAACTGCAACTGTGGTCTGCTCAGCATAGTTGCAGTATAAACCACAGGTGGGTTCTGTGGGTGTTGAACTAACATAAATTGCAGGCTTCTGCAACAGGGATTGGCTAGCTGCCTTAGTAGACAGACATACTTGGATATGAGGCACAGAGCCATTATATATATATATATATATATATATATATATATATATATATATATATCTCACACACAAGAAAGACGTGCTAAGGTGGTGGTAGCAGCAGCAGTATTAAAGGAAAAACAGAATGAGAAAAGAAATGATTAGTTATAAATGTGCTTTCAAATGGTTCATATCCTGTTGGCAGAAAGCCGTTGAGAGGTACTAAACACAAAAAAGTAGCTGAAACTAGATAATTAAGTATATCACAAAAGTGTAAAATATACAAGTCAGTATTAAGTATAAAGATTACACTGATCTTTTACTACTTGCAATTTTTGCTTAGCTTTTTCTTTCTTTATTGATACAATAAATGTCACTCAATACACAAGTATAGAAAGAAAGTAAATTGAAATAGGCTAATGAAAATATACACAAAACCTTTTTTAATTATTTAATTAGGTATTTCCCTCCAACTCGTCATAAATTCCATTACATAAAAAATAACTATTCCTCTCAAAAAATAAAAAAAAAAAAATTAAAAAAAGTTTATTAAAAAAATATTACATTTTCAAATGGTGACAAACTATTTTTCCTAACAAAACCATATTTATTAAGCATATCAGTTTGGCATAAGAAATACCAAAAAAAAACAAAAAAAAAACTAAATTCTTTTTCTCTATCAAGTTAATAGTTGTAAAATATATTACAATATCATAAGGTAAACTTATACATTCCGTATAAATTCAAATATATTCTTGTTATACTTATTTAGAATTTATTTCAAAGATTGAAAGATCAAGACATTTTAAGTGTAAATACTTCTAGAAAAAGCCAAATTTTAGCTTCTCCAATTCTTTTCTACACCTTTTATTAGCAACATGTTTGAAATAGAATAAATGTCAAATCTTATACAAAATTCTTACTTCAATACAACTGACGAAATGAATATGGTATTATGACATGAGAGCACCGAGCTAAAACCTACAGACTTTTGGCAAGGTTTCTGAATCACTTGGACTTCAACCAAAACAAGGTATTATCTTACTGATATAAAAAAAAAAGTATCCCTATAGTGCAAATATTAAATGGAATGGATGGAGAGAGGCAGAGGAGGAGGAGAGAGAGAAAAAAAAAACACACACACAAATCAGACACTTTGTAAGATTGCCAAATTAGAAACTTAATATGGCAGCTAAGATTGATGCTTCTTTCCCACCAGCCTTAATTTGTAGCAAAAATATCAAAATAAATTAAGAAAAAGTTACTATCAAGTGTTTCATTTATTATTAAAAAATATATTTAAAAAAAATCATAAAAATTAACATGGGGTTTGAATTGCAGACATTAATTAGCAAATTAATAAGATTTCACATAAGTATTCTACTCTATAGAAAGTAAATAAAAACTGCAGAGGTAATCAATGCTCACCTGTTAATTGCTTCATCAGGTCAAAGATATGGACATAATCTTCAACCAAATAATGCCAACAATTGGCCTCATCAATTTGCAAGCAGTTTTACCTGACCAGTTACTTTCTCTAAATGTTCTCAATTGAACTAACAGAAAGTAAGTGATAACAGAAACAATGTACACATCTATATTTCAGAATGTTGATCATATTTTTAACAATGTTAAGATCATTCTGTCCTCTAATCATCACCACAGAACATCAAGTAGAATTCATTTTTTGATTTAATCCATCAGTAATACATAAAAATTTGCTAATCACAGTAATTTAAAGTTGGAATAAATACAAACAGGATTCATATTTTCATGTTTCTTGTTGGAATGGTTCCTCACCATAGGAGAAAAAAAAAAAAAAAAAAAAAAAGGACACATATTTAAACTTCAAGAAGGCTTTGTTTACAGTCAGATACCTTTTCTAATAATTTCTATCAGCTCCTTCAGTTAAATTTAATGAAACACTTAAAATATATGAATATGAAGAGTAATTTTATATATATATATATATATATATATATATATATATATATATATATATATTATATATAAAAGAGGACAGTATTTACAAGTTAATGACATAAATGAATTTTGATTCACCACAGCTGATGTTGCAAAAAGAAACCACAACAAAAATAATATCAAGGAAAAAAAAAAAAACAGTTGCTTAAATACCATTAACATATTCATGAAGACAGACCAATTCTATTGAACTTTTAAAATCAAAATTTCTTATTTCAAAAAGTAAAGAAATACCTAACAAGCCTAAAAATTCCAAATATATTAAAATAAAACTCCTGTATAATTTTTTTTTTTTTATAAAAAGAAAAAAATTGAGAGCTACTAAATATATTATCTTTCTTTTAAATATGTAAAATTTCAGTTTTATATTTAATAGCAATTGTAAATATGTGCATAAAAATATGTAATGAATTGATACAGTCTACTATAGACTTATTATAAAAAAAGAAAAAAAAAAAAAAAAAATGGGTGACAGTTTAATGCACTAAGATTTTCTAAACCTTTTGTCCATCTATCTTTATTAGAATTAAGAATCCAAAATAAGTGTATGATAATTTCATCACTATGATGAGATGATTAATGCCTTCTGACCAACGATGTCAAATATATGCAGGTATCTTTACGTGTGACTCATCGGCTACAATAGACAAATGGTCCAAGTTGCTTAAGACGGAATTGTAAGTACTGAACAAAGTTGTCATAGTCTGGCAATAAATAGACTTCAAAATGTATCGGAGATTTTATTCATTACCAATCTTTTCAAATAAGCTTTTTTTAATCAACAGGAGAACGCAATAAATTATTTAACAAAAGTCAGTATTTAAAATGAAATTTCCAATCAAGTTTAGTGTAATCAAAATAATTTCAGATTTCTGTGTAAGAAGTTCTCGATTTTTTAGGTAAAGCTGAAAATGAAATTTATTGAAGTGCTTATAAATAATGCATTTAAGTTACATAGACATCAAGTTATGATTGTATAAGACAATCAGAACATTTTTTTAAAATAAAACAATTTGTTAAATTATATAGAATTGGAGTATAGTCATTGAATTAT